GCTCAAACACCAGCCGGAACCTTTAAGACCGTACGTGTGACACGTGCACAGGGAGGTGCTACGTGTAGTTATAGGCTTATAGTTGATTAGCTCACAGACCTACAAACCAATGTGGGGGTGTTCTGATTTACTTATAACGCCAAAAGGAGGTCAAATTGGTTTAAATAATAGTAATGAGCTTAATTTATTAATTAAAGCATAAATAGAGGACTTGGCTTGCAATTTTGTTTTTATTTTCAGCTTGACGCATATTTTCTCACCGAGAAATTGATGACTTTCATTGTTATCGTCGACTCGAAGCTTAACAATGGGTTTCTGACGAATAGAGAGAGCTAAACCATTCACAATGTTCGTACCTTCAAAATTGCAACCGCCCAAACCCATAATCTTCTGGAATCCGATTCTCCATTACGGATTCATCGATAAAAATCTCTCCTTTCGCCGACGGGACACTCTCCGGCTAGCTTTTCCGATTTCACGATTCACAAAGGGTTCAGACTCAATCGCGTCTTCTCCTCCCTCGCCATTGTACTCGAATCCGCAGGAGCCATCGATCTCTTCCCAATTCACGTCGTCCGTGGGACAGTCTCCTCTCCAACTCTCTCAATGGACATTCACTCAGAAGCACTTCGTCTTGCTCAATGTCGTCGCTTGCGTAGTAAGCCTCAATTTCATCCCCCTATACTTGATTTGACTCTTGGGTTTAGGTTTTGATTCCAATTGCTCAATAAAGATCTGGACTTTATGTCACTTTGTAACAATCATCATCATGGGTTCTGTTGCAGACAGCAATTTCAGCATCGTGGCTCTTCTTTGCTGCGATTCCTACTCTTCTGGTTCGTTCTCCAACATTTTGCTTTTACAGTTTTTGATAAATTTTGAAGGTTGGTTTGAGTTGTATATACATTTGTTTACTTTGGAATGTTGAAAATAGGCTTTCAAGAAAGCAGCTGAGTCTCTTGAAAAGCTTCTGGATGTAACTAGAGAAGAGCTACCAGATACAATGGCTGCTGTTCGTTTATCAGGAATGGAGATCAGTGACTTAACTATGGAGCTCAGTGATTTAGGGTTTGTCTCACATGACACATCCCACCATGATTACCTATTCTTCATATCTCTTTTGTAACTCTTTCAGTATTTGTGTAGCCAAGGTATTACTCAAGGTGTTAAAAGCTCAACACGGGCTATTCGCGTAGCTGAAGATAGACTAAGACGGTTAACAAACATGAATCCAGGTTCAGTCATCACTTCTGAACTCTCCTATTCAAATTATGGACTTTCACAGTTAACTCTATTTTTATCTCATTCAATAGCTTCAATGCAGGAGGTGATGCATCGAACCAAGACAGAGGAAACAGAACCAATGGTGGCTAGAAAAGCGAGGAGCTTAAAGGAAGGGATAGTTAAAGGACGTTCTTTATGGCAATTGTTCTTCACAGTCACTCGTTTCTCCAAAACGGCAACAAGTTATCTTGCAAAGCGAGCTAAGCAGTAGAAGGTGATCAATCAGATCCCACTTTTCTCTTTACCCTTTTTCAGAGTCTGTGTATTACTAGCTTAGGAGTCTAGTAACTCTAGTTTAATTGATATGAAGTTATGATATTGATATCATGATTCATGAGACGCAAAGCAATTTTCTTATAGAGTTACTACCAAATAAGATTATCCAATTCTACATGTAAGGCCCCGTTCGTAGTCAGTTAACTCCACCTCGCTTTCCCGAGCTTATCGGTTGTTTCCTTATCCTTTTACCCATTAGCTTGAGACTCCTCGTTGAAGTTTCAACAGATGAAGCTTCTTCGTTCTCCTCCTGCAACACAAAATAAAGAACTAGTAGCTTAGCAGAAATAAAAGTAAACATTCCTTGAGTTTACAGAGGAGAGACGGAATGATCAGTTTTTACATTTCTTGCTTTAGCTTTCACCATGTCGGAAGAAGAAGAAGAACGTCTGAATCTCAGACACTTGAAAAAAGCTTTGACAGCTTGAGGCATGAGCTTGCAACAATCTCTTTTGTTATCTCTCTCTTGCTGCATCTTCTATGCCTTCTAATTTCCTCTATGTGTGACTTTATCCTCGAATTTTCTTTGGTACCAAAAGATCAATCATACTTCTTAAACTGCGATTATAAAGCGGTGAATTAGAACCAACTTTTTAAAAAAATTGCACATCTTTTAGAGTGGCCGTCTCTTTCTTTGTTAAAAGCTGAGGCTATAAGAAAACCAACAATTCCATAAGTTATGTCCTAAAATTACTTAAACTTTTCCCTAGTCGATTCACACTTTTTTTTTCTTCAAATTATGTAAAGCTAAATCTCTAAACTCTAATTTTTACATTCCGAACATTTAAATCTCAACCATTTATATTTTTCAATTAATGGTTTATATTCGAAGGTAGGTGTATATAGCGAAAGGTAATAAATAGATTTCCTTATTTATGTAACACTATTAAATTGCACGATAGATACTAGTCCCACTCCCACCTCATCATTCAACTTTCTTGGATATACGTACGGAGAACGAGACACCACCACATGAATGTAAAATATACATGCAAATAGTCTTTTTAAACCAAATAATTATTTAATTTGCTTTTTTTTGTTTATGGTAAGGTATTTATTTGGTTATGCATTTTCCGAGGTAAGAGATCGAATTGATCTGTTTGTGTGTTTTTAAGACGATATGATCTTTTATTTCTTTTAAAACTTTCTCACAAAAGAAAGTTGAAACCAAGGAGTAAGTAAGATTCACGTTTGTGTTTTGTTATTATGTCAAAATAAAGGACTCATAATCTTCAGGAATTATACGATACAAATATTAAATTAAGAAAATGTAAGGAAGAATTTCTCCGTCAAATATTTATTTAGTTGAAGTGAAAAACTAAAACGGCTTCTTGTTGGTGCCTCCCGGCTTGCCGGAACTTTCTCTCGACTTCTTCAGTACATTCTTTTTCCCCGGAAGTCCCCTCGACGACACTTCCACAACCTCAACTTCCTCCTCCTCTTCCTTCTGTTGCGAGAAATATGAAGTTTGTATTATAAAAGAAACTTTATTTTTAACAAACAAAAAAAGGAAATTTTGTGAAGTTACAAATAAATAAAAAGTTAATGGAGTGAGGTGTCAGCACAAGAATTGAAGATGATATATTTCTCCATGAGGTGTCAGCATCTTCTTAAAGTTAAACTTTATTTTTCACTTAAAAAGTTTTTATTTCTCTAGACCACCAAAAAAATCATGTAGATCACTAGCTACAGTCTTGTTTTAATCGGATCCGATCCGAAATTGTTCTTATCAAACCAACCCAAAATTAACTCTATATTAGGCTATGTCGATATGAATGGCTAGAGAATCCATCATATATTCATATTTAGAATGCGTGTTAGCAATCATATATGAAGTATAAAACTTTTAGTTTTTTTTTCAAACAAATGAAGTATAAAGCTTGGAATAATATTTAAGAAATATGGACTATAATTCACTTATTAGTAATTAATTTTGAGTTAAAAACCATAAAATCGTTCAACTCATAGTTAACAAAAAAAAAAACACAATCAAAATCTTGAGAACTAATTTTGCCTCAAGAGTCCAGAGTTACAATCTCTACTGGAAAAAAGAAAATTTATACCAAAGCACAATCCACTTTATAGAATAATGAATTAGGTATAAATTGGATGCGTAAAAATCTCATCATTTTTGAGTAAATATTTGTACTACGAGTCTTCAGAGACAAGGAGATCTAATCACATGAACGCTAACAGAAATATGAAATATTAATGGTCGTTTATCACAGAAATTACATACCGGAAAGCTATGATCAGAAGGAGATCGCAAACCGAGAAGCTTGAGTAAAAGAGATCGGAAAGTTTGATGAATGAACTTAAAAGGGATCCATAGATAATAAGAAACTCCTTCTTCTCTCTCCATCTTTTCTTCAATTCGATCTGCTTCGTGAGAGCTAAGTGAGAGAGTGAGGTGTGACTTTAGTTTATTAATATAGGCTCATCAGTATTTACACTAAGTATTATAAAATGAGGTAATTACATATATTAATCAAATAATAACAGCTCATTTGGCGCGTCTTTTCGTATTATTGCATGTTTCGTATAAAGTACTATTTATTTATGTTTTTCAACATTATATACACATGTGGTCTACTTACAATAAGGTTGACCAGATTAATTGTTTTGGGAGTGTCATCTTAATTACTGTTATCTCAATCTTTCTTAACTAGCTGTGAGAAGTTTTACCGAATTATTCAATCAAATATGTCTAAATATTTTGAAATAATATTCTAGTATAGATGACATTCTCTTTTTGGGAATTATAAAAAAGCTACAAAAGAAATCAAGACATAAAAAATTTCAAGGTATTGGATAAAATCTTGTTCTTATTATTCTGTAAAATATATTATCATTTTTGCTGCTTTTATAGTGTTTAGTTTCATTTTCTTAGCTAAATTGTTTTTATCATAAAATATATCATTTCAGTTTGAACTCAGATGCAGAGATTAGTGGCAACCTGCAAATCCATAAAGCCATTGGCGTTGACTTACATTTTGGGACAGATAAAGGGAATATTTTGGTTTGCGTACCAATAACCCACTCAACATTTTTGTAGTTGCATATCAGTAAAACAATTAGAAGAAGAAGAAAATGAAAACGATTAATCTTGATTATTTAAATAAAATACTAAATCGTTGTCTTTTTCATATCCTTGTGCCCATTTGTGAATTTTTTTATTCACCTTCGCAAAGATCTGAAGTTCTGAATTCAAAATCTTAAATCGCCCATAAGTATCGTCTTTATTTTTTATTTTACAACTTTTCATATACCATAGAGTTTGCTTTTATCTTTACTTATTTTACAAACGAAATGACTCGAAGATACAAACAGTCAAGAATCACATAATTCACACAAAAGAAAATATATTTATAACACATTAATTAAGCTTGAGAAGAAATGTAAAGGATTTTTTCAGAACATATTTATATTATTAACTTAATGTTGAAGTTGACTTTTTATTGAAATGAAGACTTGTGGAAGCTAAAACTAGGAAGGTGCCTTGTTGGTACCTCCACTCTTCCCGGAACTCGTTTGCTGCTTACTCCTTCGCGCTGCAACGTTCCCCGACACCACACTCCTTGAAGTCACATTCACAACCTCTGTCTCTTCCTCTTCTTCTTGTGATATCTTCACCACCAACATTATCATATATACACATTTTCCATTAGAAATTTCATATTGAAAAGAAAGATGTGACAATAATTCAGTAACAAAAAGAAACATTCATGTCGTTTAGACTTAGTTTCCTAATCTAGTTTCATAAGTTAGTCCACGGAGTCGAAACATGTACTTGATTTATTAAATGATTGATTTTCTAGGAATGAGCGCAAGAAACCATTTACCATATTATTTTACAAGTACCAACTATTATATATTAATATCGTATCCATCCGAGTAATCACGAAGAAGAACATGATCATTTGGCAAAGAACTATTCAAAATTCCACAAGTATGTAAAATTGTAAATACGGAAATTTAAACTTTACAATTAAAATTCAGAGAAACTCCGAACTTACAATCAGATATTAGAAATACTTTCTAAATTCTAACTAATACTATTAAACAATTTGATCATCATTTAATATGTTATAGGATTGTGAATTAAATTTCACGTTAAAAGGAAAATGAGACAATTCAAGTATAATAAAGTTAATGAGTTGACTAATAGTTTTTATTAACAAAACAAAAAACTAATATTACTACAATTGCTTTTGGTAGAAGTGATCATAAACTTTTCATAAATATAGTTTGTATTAATACATATTAACATATAGGAATTGTTGATTACATATATAAAGATATTACTCACCGGAGAATTATCAGGAGGAGTTGGTAGACTCCAGAAGAACGATCGGAAGATATCGCCGATGAAGTTAAAAGGGATGCAGAGATAAGAGCAATTATCTCCATCTTCTCTTCTTCCTTCTCCCTCCATTTCTTTTCTTCTTTCTTCTAATTACAAGAGAATTGGGTCATTATATAATACAGTTCAAATCACTCATCATTTCTTCTTAGTCAACTTACAGCAATTACATTAAGTTGGTATAAAATATGACAATTAAATATACTAATCTGATCGCAACAGCTCATCGGTCGCATCTATTCCTATATTGCATGTTTCCCGTTTGCGATTTGTTTATGTACTTGTATAAAAAAAAGCAATGTTCAAGAAAGCGCTAGGCGCTAAGCGGGCGGTGATCCAGTGCCTAGCGCCTAGAACGCCTAATCGGGGCCTAGGCGATTTTTAGGCGGTTTAGACGTTTATAACAGAAAACATTATTAAATGATATTATATATAAAAGTTATGTTAAATATCTATACAAAACTAAAATATATGAAATTATAAACAAAAAATAGATAAAACATTTATTTATATTTATATTAAATAATATATGAATATTTATAACTATATATATAGAAATAAAACTTAATTGAAATTGAAAAAAATATATTAAAGAAGATTTATGTAATTTTAGGCGGTTAAAGCGGTTATCTAGGCGTCGCATGAGAGCCTAGCGCCTAGTCGGGGCCTAGGCCGCTTTTTAGAACATTAAAAAAGTAATGAAATTGAATGCTAGATAGATACTCGTCTGTGGTGATCATAATAATATATAAACCGAATTTGATACGTGAAAACAATCCATAATACTGATAAAAAAAGAGATATAATAACGTTAGATTGTCATAATTTGATTTCAGTTTTTGGTCGAATCATCAAACGATTTTGCAGTTTTCTGAGTCATCATTTGTACAGGAACGGATATTTAGAAGCATGTAGATATATAGGCAAACACATGTGTATGAATGTATATTATTACACATGTAAAAATACAAACGTTGACTATATATTTACACAATAATTAGGGATGTTTATGTTTATATATAGTACGTAGCATATGACAATAAGATACGACAGAAATGTCTCGCTAAGGGGAATAATGCGTTAAACGCCAAGTAATTATGATTGATTAATTTATGACCCACGAGCTAAGCTAACATATACTCTAATAATAGATGTCAACAAACTAAAACCAGCTGTTAATCACTGCAGATACATATTTAGAGTTCGGCTGGTTTAAATGCAAGAGTTTTACGTTGTGAATATATATATAAACGTTACTAGACGGTTTATTAACGATTTATACGATTAATATAGCAGTTAAAAACGGATGTAAAATTAAATAGTTACCGTTACAGTTAGACATAAATTTAATTATTGGACGTATCAAGTATAGATTACTTTTTATATGAAATTTTTTGATAGAAGGTGATTAGATCTTGTTGAAAGAGAACATGTTAAAAAATATTTTCATATTTAAGATATATTTATAATATTTTATTCTTGTAAACGTCTGTCACCAAAACATACCCAAAAAAAAGTGTCACTAATGTTCGTTTCCGCAAACAATTGAAAAATAAACTTCTTATTTAGAACAATATGGGATGCTATCATGAAATGACCAACGTCAAGTACGCGCAACCACAATCATCTCCAACCATATCGTATATTGGCGACTGCTAGAAAACTAATCAAATCCTTAGTTGCGGCGGCCTGGCTTTCCGGAGCTAGGTAGCGTTTTCTTCGATTTGACTATCATGCCACCCCTTGCTGACACAACGTCGTGTGTAGCCTCCTCCTGCATTTGTAAACTTGTAGTTGTAGTTAAAAAGCTCATCTTATTAAATATTTCCCAAGTGGGAATTAACGTCTAGTTTGGCCAAATCAATATGAAACCAACCCAACTTACGAAAAGAGTCTTTTGGAAAAACCTTGAAATCAAATCCGTTTTGCTTTGATATTCTTTTATTAGAAGATGTAAAGTTAGTTTTAAATTTTTTTAACAAAAAAGTCTAAACATGAAATATCTGAATATCGAAACCGAACATATGAAAGAATAAAGATATGCTTATTAATATACACGTGAATGCAATTTATATCATATATACATAATATAGATCTTCTTTATATAACTTTCTTTCTCGATGGCTTTCTAACAAATGCTTACCGAAGATGCCGAGGAAATCGAAGGAGAAGGGGAGAGATGGAGACCAATACACTTTAGGAAGGTCTTGAGAGCTTCGTTCAAGAATTGAAAAGGGATACAAAGATGAGAACTTTCTTCTTCATTTCGTCTCTCTTCCTCCATTGAGATCTCACACTCTAATTGTCGTATATCAAATCTATATTTGAGTAGTGAGATGATACTTTTGTCTCGAATGTCTTCGAATGTCCTTTTTATAACATTGTCACAAGAAATATTCCATTTCCACCTCTAAAACTCGGTATTAATTGTCGGTCGGTCCATTTTACTATTTTCATAAGCTTTTGAACATTTCTTCACTATTCTCAGATTTCTAAAACCTTTTCAATGCATTATTGGTGACTTTCTTGAGTTTTCAATTCATCCACATACATAGATTGCTAAGTTTAATTCAGCACAAGCAAAGCAAGTGTGATGGCTATTACTAATAATAATTCAATCTTTGGGGATAAGCCTTCCAAAAAGTGAACAATGTTCACGCACTAACGCAAAAAAGAGATCACACATAATAATCATGTTGGCCGAATGACTAAAAAACACGTACAACTCGGCTTGATGATTAAAAAGAAATTCATATATCCGATTAGAAACAAGATCCGTTTTTGGTCTACTGGACTGGATCCGGAGAGACTTTTTTTTTTTCCTCAAAAAAAAAAAAAACATCATTGGTTTCTTGATGGATAGGCTGCAATATTTTCTTGAAATTGGTTTGTTTGATTTCTCGTGGACATGTGTAGACTTTAGGATTATTGGGCCTAATAGAGTCAATTAAATTGGGGCCGAACTTATCGTTGAGCCCAAAACAAAAACTAAAATGTAATGTTGACAGTGGGATTTGAACCCACGCCCTTTCGGACCAGAACCTTAATCTGGCGCCTTAGACCAACTCGGCCATATCAACTTGTTGTTCTAATAATGTATTTAATATTTATAAACGATTCAACATAAAGGGAAAGGATAATTAAATAAGAGGGATGGGTCAATGTCACCTGAAGGATTGTCGGCTGCCCCCAGCCACTAAATTAAAAGCAGTGAGAAGTCAGTGTCTGAAAATGAATAGTGAAGAGACAAAGACACGAGCCAAGTTTCAGAGATACGACTCCATGCACAGGTTTCGGTGTTTTTAATTTATACATGTATTTCATCAGACTCTCTGCGACGAAACCTATGACTTCTCCACCTCCATTTTACTTCTCTGTTTTCTCTCACTCTTTTTTTTTTCTTTTCTTTAACTCCCGAGGACTTGTAGACATCATGTCAATTAATATGTCTGGCCATGTTCGTTATGATTTTCCGAGGGATAATTAGTATAGACTTCAAAACAGATTGTTCAGATTTGATTAGGATGTCGTAATTTTTTGTTAAGTGGTGTGCCTTTTCTTTAGCTTATGGACAAGTTTACCTCTTATACTTTTAAGCAATCATATTTATTTTAATTTAATCGTGTAACTAACAAGATAAAAATTGACACTGACGGTTGAAATAGTTTAGATAAAGTTGTTTAGGTCTAAATTTTTAATTTTAGCTCGTTTCATATTCATTTGGATCAGTGGGTTCTTCTTATACTATAAGAAATCTAAAAACTAGATTTTAACTCAGAATACAATATTGTCAAATCAAGATATATATAATATGTATGTATTTAAAGAAAAATTAAAATTTTGAAATAACATATTTAAAATTTCACAAAAAAAAATATGAAAATGAAAATTTGATATTGTGATATTAAGCCATGTTTGTGTTGATTTCTGAATTCTACTCGACAACAAATCTAATACCAAAATATTATGTCATGTAAATATCTGTTCATTAGAGAAAACTACGCAACGTCACCGTCTTTGGAATCCTTCGCCATCATCATAGCTTACTAAGAGCCTATTTATTTTTGTCCAGCGAAGTTAACAGATTTTGTCTTAGCATGACAGAGTTAAATCAGTTCACTGATTTTGACTTCCGAATGATTTTTCTACCGACAGAAAAAACACTCCAAAATAGTGTGTGTGTGTGTGTGTAGCGCCATCCCTGAGTTAGAGTATGATGCCACTGCTCTTGTTCTATGTGCTGTGTTCAATGGTTTTAAAGAAAGGTTGAGATGATAATTTAGCCATAACAACGGGTTTGAGAAACAAAATTGTTGTAAATATATATGACATGACAACACAAATTTAATAAAAAAATATACTAATGTTATATATACATCAATGAGTTCATGATATTATTTTTATTGCCTCATTCTACTCAATTATTACAAAATGACAACATATCTTTGGATAGAAATTACCGAACAGATGCACCAAATTGAATTTAGATCGTCCAATTTATAATTATAGCATAACCATCTCACTGTTTTGTCCACGTCCCACCCGATTTGTTTCTATATTGGTTCTAAAATATCTCATTTTAGCAAGAAAACAAGTGCAAATATTACGATATTTTTAGAAATATGTAAATCAAAGTACGTAGACAAAAAAAAAAAAAAAAGTACGTAGACAAAATCATAGCAAGAACAAAAGACCAAAATTTCCTCTTAGTCATTACTCCATTCATTTTAGACCCGCTAAATATAATGGTACATTGATCGATACTACATATATCAAACCGAATCACTATATCAACTAATAATAATTGGAAAAAAAACACACACTCTCTCGATAAAATACTAAAACGGCAATATATCTGCAATTCATACCTCTCGACCAAAAAACAAAAAAGCGTTAAAATAGAAATATAAGAAAAAGAAAACGTTGACAAAGGTCAAAACCCTACTTAGCCCTTCTTTGACTTAAAATAATTCCGTTACAACAGCACGTAACGGATGCTCCATCTCACAAGAAAGCTTCAAGACCTCACCAAGATCAACTGGCTCGGTCTGATCTTGATCCCACTCGAACCGTCGCACCAACTCAGCCACCCACCGAGTCACAGTAGCTAACCCCATGTTCTTCCCCGGACACACCCTCCTACCGGCTCCAAACGGCGCTAGCCTTAGATCCCCACCACGAATATCCACGTCAGCATTCCCAGTGAACCTCTCCGGGTCGAACTTTAGCGGGTCGGACCATACCGTCTGGTCGTGAGTTATAGCCCACATGTTGACCATCGCCGTAGTTCCCTTTGGAACTACCATGCCATTGCTGAGCTGGACGTCTGACGTGGAAAGACGAGCCCATGAAAGCAGTGGTCCAGGAGGATGCAGCCTTAGAGTTTCCTTCACCACTGCGCTCAGGTACGGGAGTTTTGCCAGGTCAGCATCTGCCACGCCTCCGTCTCTCACAGCGGTTACGATCTCGTCTCGTAACTTGGTTTGCACGTTAGGGTTCAGTACTAGCTCAGCCATGGTCCACTCCGTTAATAACGCCGTTGTATCTGTCCCTCGAAAAATCATCTCCTATATTGACATTAAAAAAAAGAAAAAGAAATTAGCACCAATAAATGCAAAAAAAAAAACATTACAACTACACCGTTACAAATATACCGTTAAATTTAATGTGACTCGTACTATTTCAATTTCATACGAACTTACCCATAAAACGGCGATCATGTCATCCTCTTGAAGCTTCTCATCACCGTCTAACGACAACAAAACATCAACGAAATCTCCAATCTCACTTTTCTTCTCAGACTTACTAACTCGGTGCTCGTCAATGATTCTCTTGACGAGGGTTCTAATTCGAGGAACGAGATCTGAGCAACGTTGGTTTAAGCGAATAGAGTCATAGAAATAACCGATCCATGGAAGATAATCGGACCAATTAAAAGCACCCAAAAGCTCGAACCCTTCCCTAACCATTGATGTAAGCTCATCAAGATCCTCTTTATGAGCCAGAGGATCGTATCTTCTCCCAAAAACACTCCCCATGATGTTGTTCAAGGCGGCTAGTTGCAAGTGTTTCCTTAAAACGACTGATCCAGCGCCGTTTTGCTCCACTGACACAGCTTTCACCATTTCAGCGCAGTCTAGCTGGCGTCCAGCTTCGTGTGCTAAGATACGCCGAGGAGCGAATAGGTGAGTCGACGCGATCCTTCTTAACGTGCGCCAGTAAGCCCCGTTTGGAGCGAATCCTATGGCTCGGCTGAACATGAGGCTCTTAGCAGACTGCTTAACCGGCCGGTCCGCGAAGTGAGGCGACATCAGAATCTCGCGAGCTGTGTTTGGCTCAGAAGCTACGATAACCGGCGTTGAACCGAGGCTGAAAGCCATAATCTCAGTGTTGGCTCGGCTCCAAGCCATGGCGGCTAACGTCCGATGGGCCAAGCCACGGCTGAGAGTGAAAAGACTGCCGAATACTGGTATTCCCCGAGGACCAGGGATGGGGACACGACCCAACCGGTTACGGCCGTTCTTCCATGCGACACCACCGCCTCCGGCAAGAGCCCACGTGAGTATAGAGAGAGAAGCGACGGCAAGGAAGAGATAGCCGATGATGGAAACATCATGTAGGTTTTGCGATCCAAAAACGGCAGGCAGTGCGATCATCCAATAGCTTGTTTCTTTTGATGCCAAATTCATCAACTCCATTTTTTGGGTGGATGTACTTTTTTTCTTCCTTGTCAAACAATGAACAACGTACGAACCAATAATAATAACAAGAGTGTTTTTTTTTGTAAGAGAAAGCAAAAAAATTTTATGAGGATGAAAGTACTCTTTTTTTTTTTTGGGTTAAAGAGAGAAGTACTTGGAGAAGGAACAATGGAGAAGTTGAAGGTAAATGTACATCTATATATAAAAACTTATATATATATCCACATGTATTTTTTTGGCAGCGTTAATTAAATGCGCAATGCATGGGAAGAGAGACGTCGGTTTTGAAATGATTATATATTTATATATGTATATATATTGATGTAAAATTAGTAAGTATATTGGGAAAATGGTAAGGTTAAAACTGGGAGAGAATCACGTGGAGGGAGGAGGTGAGTCGCATGAATTGGTTTGGTGTTGGATGAAATGAAAGATATGTGTGAAAGAGGGCGTTATGACAATGAATTCGGCATTTTTATTTTGTTTTTCATAATTAATTAGCTATATTTAATTATGTTTGCACCGTTTTTCTCCTTGCATCGATGTGATATACTCCCTCTGTCCCATTTTATTAGATGTTTGGAGTAAAAGCACATAGATTAAGAAACAATAAATGTTTTCTCATTTATGAAAATTTAACCAATAGAAGAAGATACTGCATAATTAAAATAATTTAAAACTATTAAACTAATATAAATTATGCATTGAAAGTAGAAAAAATCTTATATAATGGAACAAATGAAAATGCCTAAAACATCTTATATATTGGGACAGAGGGAGTAGTATAGAAGAGAATTCAATGAGGTTCGTTAAACCGAAAAAGAATTTAATGAGTCCGTATATTTCGGCTTAGGGAATACGAAAGGACAAACTAATGAATATGTTCTTTATAGAAAAAAGAATATTAGTCGGTTATAGAGTGGGCTTTAGAGAGTTGTGACGTGCAACGAGATACTTGCCCTGATTAAATTATCTCATATATTACTTGAGTTTGCAGTAGAACGGAATTATGACTTTTAATAAGAGTAGTTTTAAAAGTATAATTAGGAACTATGTATATATTTCTTTTCTTGCTAAAAAACTATGTAGTTTTAGAGTTAAAATTTGATGAATACGTAATTTTAAAGTTAAGTGGAAGAGATAAGGAGACATTTTGTACAACTTAAGATTTAACATGTAGGGTTGATAAAAAAAAAATTAGGATAGCAAAATAATAAATAGATGTTCTAGGTTTTTGTCTATCCCAATTCCAGATGTGTGTATATATTTATCTATATTCAATATCCTTTGACATTTTTTGTCGTATATAGGCGATTTATTAAATATAAGATTTATCGATCGATAACTAATAATTTTTTTTTTAATCTGATCGCCACAATATATTTAATCAGCGATTGTATACCAAACACGGAAAAAAACACACGATGTATATATTTATCTATATTCAATATCATTTGGCTTTTCTTTTATTATATAATCGATTTATTAAATAGTAAATTTATCGATCGATCACTAATAAATTAACATTTTCATGCGATCGCAACAATATATTTAATCAGTGGTTAATTTAATATTTTTATCGCTACTTTTTACAAAAAGTAACGATATTATTAATTAAAACTCGTTGATCACAAGTTTATATAGAGAACCAAAAAGAGAAAGCAACCAATTTATCTACCCTGAGATTCAAATCTTTGTACCAATGACATTAAGAGCATCTCCAACCCACCTCTACATTTGCCTCTAAACTCTATTTTAGAGGTAAATTTGCTCCAACACACCTCTATTCTCACCTCTAAAATAGAGATCTCTATTTTTTCCTCTATATATAGAGGATGATATAGAGAATCTCTATTTTTTCCCCTATAAATAGAGTTAAATTTTTTAGAGGAAAAAATAGAGGAATACATTGGAGTAAAAATAGAGAAAACTCACCTCTATTATAGAGATAGAGCTAAAAATAAAGAAATACATCGGAGATGGTCTAAGTAACTGAACTGGTTTCCTATTTTACCATCATTTATCATATTATAAAATATTTTATATGATTATAGTTTACGACGACGTACAAATATAACTATTTAATTTGCAAATACATAATCTAAATCTCAACATTCAAATTACTCAAAAGAACGGCTCAATAATGCTCAATCAAAATTCTATAGGACGTATATTGCAACCAACTGTTACATTCATAATATGTAAAAACAAATCGCACATTTTGAACATAAATCTAATTCGAAACATGATGTAGAACAACAGATTTTTACTTAAGCGTTAGACTAAGCAAATGGCGTTTCACATAAAACAATTTCCCTTTACGAGAATATATAATCTTTAATAATAAGAACAAGAGACAATCAAATCACATTAGAAAACCAGTTAACTAAACGTCTCATGCAATTTGTATGTTGCATATTTCTAGCTCGGCGTTTACCGTTTTCTTTGAAGATAATGCTTAAGAATATATTGAATAAAAAAGCCTAACAAATTGGTGAAAGTTAGAGGAATCCGGGGTTGAATCTTAGAGGCTGAGGCACCAAATCATCCATTCTTCATGCTTAACGTATTAGGTAATAGGTTTGAATCTCAACATCTATACAAAAAGACTTCATCTATATGGAAAATTAATGGATTGGTGTTTCTCATTTTGTTTTCTTTAACTAATGTATATAAATAATTTTTCAAATGAAAAGAAAAAAAGTGTGAATGGTGAAGAAGGGAGGTTTGGCAGGGAATGGGGCGGGTCGACAAATAAGAGTAAATGATAGGAGACATGAACCATCCTAATGTCCCCCAAGTACTCAAAGTACATTGTACCTTTCTATATGCATCCTAGAAATTCGATCTTTGTTTCACAATCTTTTAAGTTTCAGGTACAACTATTGATTATATATGAAGAATTTTTTATATGTAAAACACAATAAAACTAAAACAGTATGCATCTTTATTGAGCTAAGTATATATAAACTCTACGACGTGGCGACAAATTTCACGTTAATCTAACTTAATTACCATTTTAAGCAAGAGTATTTATGGATACTTCAGGCTTGTTAAGAAAATCTAATGATTCGTGATGGGACAAATCTAAATTGAAATGGTGGCTATGATTCAAAGGGAACGATAACTAAGGTATAAGCAACATTATCTCAACATGCCTAAGATTGTATAATTAATGCGACAAGTGAATCATAAAAACCGTGACGTGAAATTTTCCAAGGAAAAAACTATCTTATGAACGCTTTGACCTCACCGACAAGTTTCTCTGTGCAATGTTGGCTCAACCGCTCAAGCGTGTCAGTTTTGAACGAGAGTCCGTCTGATTTGGTCAGGACGTTTTAACCCTTCTGACTTTCTTGAAAGAAAGAATTGGAAAAGGCTTTGGTCGTCCACATGTTATGTGTTGTGTACGCAAGGAAAAAATGTAGACACATGATCAACAAGAATAAATCATATTTTTACTCCTAATTCAAGTAGAATTCATGATATTAAGTCCGAGATTTCATATATTTGAATGACGTTGACATATTGTTACAAAGTACATCTATGGACAATTTGTGGTGGTGTTCTAATCGGCTTATCCTAAAATCTTTGGACCCCAAAACAACTATCCCACTAGCTAGTCGGCTATCAATAATTACTTTTGTGTAGGTTAAGTTTTATATCTACCATTTGGGACATAGTTTTTACATCATTGAGATTAAAATTTGGTTTTCAAGTATATACCGAAAAATAAACCTAAGGCAGGTAGGGACATGGGAGTTGGGCTGAAACAAGACTAAACATATGATGTTGACAGTCGACAATTTCGTCATCTCTGCCACGTCGTCACGATAGTAGGGGCCAACTTTTCATATAATTTAGGCTGAGTATAGACATGTCAATTGGGCTACTTCGATCTCTGTCCAAATAAGACTATACGATAAGCATGTGTGTGTTTTTTTTCAATCAATATTTTTGTTGCTCCAAATCCAAGTTAATTCAACTGCAAAAGTAAGAAAACCAAACACACTTCGAATCAAGACAGTGAAACATTTGTATACCAATTCACAACCACCATGAAAATTTGGGCCCTACTATCGTGACGACGTGGCAGAGAAAGAAACTAAAAAATAGTTCACCGTTCGATAATTTAGATTTTTCCAGTTTGGCAAACAACCTCGTTTGTTTTGGGCTTTTAGGACCGTTTCGAATTCGGTCGAATTAAGCCCAGAAAAACTCTTAACCTAATTTTTCAGGCCAGGTTGGGCCGAGTTTTGAGATTTAATCCTAATTCACATGTTAACTCCAACTCTATGCATGAAGATACTTGTTGGGCTATATTAAAAATTTAAAACCATTTTTAAAATTCAAAGAAAGGCCTTTTTATTTTTGTTAGTCTATGGCCTATATTGTGTATTTCAAAGAGACGATTATGTTTTTGTGGCCAGTAATACTTTTCATTCGGATCACTGTCCATGTTTTTCTTTAGATTAAACAGAGTACTAATTGTAGCTTAATTTCCCCCCTAATATTTTCCTTGTAATAGAGCTTATATGGTTCCCAAGGAAAACAAATAAGAGAGAAATGGATTGAATTTGAAACATATATTAAAGTGTCAATGTGTCATGACATTACATTTCCACATTCGAATAACAAGAAGTCAATAATAAAACTGCTTCTTTGCTCAAGAAGAAATCTTCAAGCTTTAACGCAGCAGTTGAAGCAGCTGAAGATGCTTCTTCTCGTCTGTAAAAACAACCACACCAAATTCTCATCTTATTCCACTGTGATAATCACGACCAGCTCAATACAACTATATTCAAAATTTAACATATAGATTGCAAGAAAAATTGGACCCTAAAATATAGATAAATTTTGTTACAAAACCATGTGCCTCATCAATAAAGTAAGGAATAATATGATATAAACGCAAATGCTGATGTTTGTATTAATCATAGAACCAAAAAATGATTGAAATCTTACAGAAGGAGAATGTGGTTGGTGGTGATGGTGGCTGGGAGAGAACTCTCGTTGGTTTTCGCTTTGGACCGTCGTGAGATTAGCCGTTGATGTTGCTGACTCGGGTGGCTTAATGAGCTCTTCCTCATTGCCTAAACTGGCTCGAGAAGGGTCTCTCTTGTTTTGTTTCCTCATCTCTCTAATCTTAGTAAAATCCATTGAGTAGTCAGGCATTGTTCCTCCTCCTTTTTGGTCCCAATCACCAAACTGTGGCACTGATAGCCACGGAGTGTTCTTCTGCAAAAAGCCAAAAACACAATTCGAAACAAACATTAACTTAATTTAAAAGGTTTCATATTTTGATGCATTAGACTTAAAAAAAAGAAAAAACAGAGCTAGTTACAAAACGATGCATCATGAGCAAGTGAAGAAGAAGAAGAGTACGAATTTTCCTAAGAAACAAAGTCAAGTTCTTGACTTTATGGAACAATTTACAAGCTTTGATTGAATCAACGATCGATAAAATCTAGGTAAAGTAAGATCTTTCTATCAATCCAATAAAGTTTCGAAATAACCAAGTAGTAGAAAATAATATACATCGTGATGACAAAATTTCAGCTATCGAGATGTGAAAAGGACGAAACTTTAGATAAACTAACTCAATTTTTGTTTCCGATTACCAAGATGCTGATTTTAATCAAATCTCCACTATAAACAGTATCAGTAAGTGCGTGGAGCTTGTTTCAGCTCTAAAAAACCAATGTTCGATTACCGACAAAATCCAAACAAAGCAGATCTCCATTTCTAAGTAAAATCAAAGTTTCCTAAGGGAAATTTCTGGGGAAACTAACAACACAGACAAAGAGATAATAAAACAGATGAAGATGAAGATGTGTATACCTCTTTTCGATCGTCTTCCATATGGTTTTGAGTCAACAGATAGAGAGAAACAGAGAGATTAGTCCTTTTTCTGATTTGTTTTCTTTAAGCTGATATGATTCTTGGCAAAAGAGAAGATGGAGAGACCAAATTATTTAAAAGCAAAAAAAAAAGAAAATTGTGAAATTATTACAGCAAAAAAACAGCTCGAATTATATCAATCACTATTGAATTTTATTTCATTTTTCTCTTTATAGGGCAATGATAAACTGTACTACTGAATAATTACGGAAAGTCCGAGGTAGTGTGTAGTAATCACAAGAATGCCATTCACGACTTTTTCATATCATCTCCTTTCGGTGTTGGCCAGAATTAAATGATATGATTCGAGGGCATAAAAGTAGTTTCCAATACTATTCCTAATTGTCTATTATAGAATAGAACAACTATAAATGTTGAGCCCATTATTGGTCCGGTCCGTATTGGGCTTACTAATAAAGCCCATTAAAATTACGGGAAGGGAAAAAATCTCGGTGAAGTGAAACGTCGGCGTTTTAGGCCAGTTAACGTCCGCTGAGGATCTGTTTGTATTGTATGTTCTCGCGCGAAAACTATTTTTTTGGTTTTGGATTTGATTTAGCTTCCCTCATGTCGTTTCTAAACGTAAGTCGTCTCCATTTAACGAAACTCTGTTGTTTATTTTGAGAGTACAGAGATTGATAATGACTAAGTGTGTTGTTCCTCTTTCTTTTGTTCAGAGCTGCATTGGGCATAGAGGAGCTGCTAAACTCTTCCATTCCCGATTATATAAAAATGGGTTAGAAAAAGATGTCTACTTTTGCAACAATCTCATCAATGCTTATCTTGAAACGGGTGATTCTGTTTCTGCACGTAAGGTGTTTGACGAAATGCCTCTTAGGAACTGCGTTTCTTGGGCGTGTGTTGTTTCTGGATATAGCCGTAATGGAGAACATAAGGAAGCTTTAGTGTTCTTGAGAGATATGGTTAAAGAAGGGGTTTTTTCAAATCAGTACGCTTTTGTTAGTGCGCTTCGAGCTTGTCAGGAGTTAGATTCTGTTGGGATTCTTTTTGGGAGACAAATTCATGGCCTGTTGTTCAAACTTTCTTATGCAGTGGATGCAGTTGTTTCTAATGTGCTCATATCAATGTATTGGAAATGCGGAGGGTCTCTCGGTTATGCTCTCCGTGCTTTCGATGACATACAAGTTAAGAATTCTGTATCATGGAATTCGATTATTTCGGTTTATTCACAGACTGGGGATCAGAGATTTGCATTTAAAATGTTCTCTAGCATGCAATGTGATGGTTCTAGACCAACTGAATACACTTTTGGTAGTCTTGTAACTACTGCTTGTTCTTTGACTGAACCAGATGTTCGTTTACTCGAGCAGATCATGTGCACCATCCAGAAATCTGGTTTTCTCACAGATCTTTTTGTTGGCAGCGGACTGGTGAGTGCATTTGCAAAGTCTGGCTCATTGAGTTATGCTAGGAAGGTTTTTAATCAGATGGAAACAAGAAATGCGGTCACCTTAAATGGTCTAATGGTTGGTCTGGTGCGACAGAAATGGGGAGAAGAAGCAACTAAGCTCTTTATGGATATGAATAGCATGATTGATGTCAGTCCTGAGTCATACGTGATTCTCCTGAGCTCATTTCCTGAGTATTCTTTAGCTGAGCAAGTAGGTCTGATAAAAGGCAGAGAGGTTCATGGACATGTAATAACAACTGGCTTAGTTGACTTCATGGTTGGCATTGGAAATGGCCTTGTTAATATGTATGCTAAATGCGGCTCAATAGCTGACGCTAGACGTATTTTCTGTTTTATGACGGAGAAAGATTCTGTCTCCTGGAACTCCATGATCACTGGTCTTGACCAAAACGGCTATTTCCTAGAAGCAGTGGAACACTACCAAAGTATGAGACGACATGAAATCTTGCCTGGAATTTTCACACTGATTAGTTCTATAAGCTCATGCGCGAGCCTGAATTGGGCAAAATTAGGACAACAGATTCATGGAGAAGGCCTCAAGTTGGGGATTGATTTGAATGTTTCGGTTTCAAATGCGCTTATGACACTGTATGCAGAGACCGGCTATCTCAATGAATGCCGTAAGATATTTTCCTCCATGCCAGAGCATGATCAGGTGTCTTGGAATTCCATAATAGGAGCTTTAGCTAGTTCAGAAAGGTCATTACCTGAAGCCGTGGCATGTTTCTTGAATGCGCTACGAGCAGGACAGAAACTTAATAGAATAACCTTTTCAAGCGTTCTTTCAGCCGTGTCATCCCTTTCATTTGGTGAACTGGGCAAGCAGATACACGGGCTAGCTTTAAAGTACAATATTGTAGATGAAGCAACCACTGAAAATGCGCTTATAGCTTGTTATGGGAAGTGTGGGGAGATGGATGGGTGTGAGAAGATATTTTCTAGAATGTCAGAGAGAAGAGATGATGTAACTTGGAACTCAATGATCTCCGGATATATACATAATGAGCTCCTTGCCAAGGCCTTGGATTTGGTCTGGTTTATGTTGCAAACGGGTCAGAGATTGGATAGTTTCATGTATGCGACTGTTCTTAGCGCGTTTGCTTCTGTTGCAACGCTAGAGCGTGGCATGGAAGTGCATGCTTGTTCGGTGAGAGCTTGTTTAGATTCTGATGTGGTAGTTGGGAGTGCACTTGTTGACATGTATTCCAAATGTGGAAGACTAGATTATGCTTTGAGGTTTTTTAACACAATGCCTGTAAGAAATTCATATTCTTGGAACTCTATGATTTCGGGCTTTGCACGACATGGGCAAGGAGAAGAAGCTTTGAAGCTTTTTGCAAATATGAAGCTCGATGGCCAAACACCACCTGACCATGTTACATTCGTGGGAGTCTTGTCAGCTTGTAGCCACGCGGGTCTGCTTGAAGAAGGGTTTAAACATTTCGAATCTATGAGTGATTCTTATGGCTTAGTTCCTAGGATTGAACACTTCTCATGTATGGCTGACTTGCTAGGCCGTGCAGGTGAACTCGATAAGTTGGAAGATTTCATCAATAAAATGCCAATGAAGCCTAATGTTCTCATCTGGAGGACTGTTCTTGGGGCTTGTTGCAGAGCAAATGGTCGAAAAGCAGAATTAGGAAAGAAAGCAGCAGAAATGCTTTTTCAATTGGAGCCAGAAAATGCTGTAAACTATGTGCTACTTGGTAACATGTATGCTGCTGGAGGAAGATGGGAAGATTTAGTAAAGGCGAGAAAGAAAATGAAAGATGCAGATGTGAAAAAGGAAGCTGGTTATAGTTGGGTCACCATGAAGGATGGAGTCCATATGTTTGTTGCTGGGGATAAGTCACACCCAGACGCGGATGTGATCTACAAGAAGCTCAAGGAGCTCAATAGAAAGATGAGAGACGCAGGTTATGTGCCACAGACAGGATTTGCCTTGTATGATCTAGAGCAAGAGAACAAGGAAGAGATTCTGAGCTATCACAGCGAGAAGCTAGCTGTAGCTTTTGTTCTCGCAGCCCAGGGAGCTCTACGCTGCCAATCAGAATAATGAAGAACCTCAGAGTTTGCGGTGATTGCCACTCTGCCTTCAAGTATATATCAAAGATCGAAGGGAGACAGATAATCCTAAGGGATTCAAACAGGTTTCATCATTTTCAAGATGGTGAATGTTCGTGTAGTGATTTCTGGTGATACCATGAGTCTCAAAGGTATGAAGACCATCAACCTCAAATCGAGATTCCTTTTAAATCTTTTATTCATGTATGTTGTTTCTTCAGATGATTTTACTTGGATTCAGCATTCATGGCTTAAACCATAGTTCTTTCCCATATGGAATGCGAAGTTCAGATGCATCAAATCAGTGAGTTACATACAATATGTGCATTTCATTTATATATTAACCTTAAATTTTGTCTGGCAAGTTAAGAACCTTTTTTCCATTTTCGAAAAGATGTGTGAAGAAGCTCACGGCTCATATAACACTATATTCAGTGGATTTTTCCAAAAACAGTGAGACCCCAAAAATCTTGTTCAACAATCACAAAACTTTGGATATAGTTTGCTTATTCTTTATAAACTGAATGGATCTTCTCTTATTCTGTGTAGGTGAGTTGTGCGTTTGAAGAGCTGCAAGTGCCGCCAAAAGATGGATTTGTCTGTTCGCAAGGTTTACAATAATGAGGTGCTCATGTCTTACATAAAATGATCTTTAGCTCTCTGAACGATCACACTTGATTCTGAATGTAGATGGAGGTTTATGGCTTATGTTGTTAATGAGGCTCTAAGAGTCTCTTTGTCTTGAATTAGACGATAAAATTAGGACTTATTTTTCTCTGTAGATTCTATTGCTCAGTGCTACAAAGGTCTGAAATCTGAATGGTGAGTCACGTTGTGCTTCTGTCTCAGCTGGACGCTACCACCACACAAGAAAACAGGAGATAGTGCTGCAAGGTATGAGGTAAAATATCACTTAGCTTCTTCTTTTTCTTATGAATATGAATTCTTATCCTTTTTGCACTTTATTATAGGAATTGAGGCTTCGGCTCGAAAGACGGATTCTTCCTAAATTCTATTGTTTTTCAGTATTTTGTAATGTATAAATTATGGATGATAAATAAAAACAAGATAACATGATTTTTACCAAAAAAAAAACAAGATAACATGATTTATTTGATTGCATCAAATTCTCTAGTACCAAATACAAAAAAAGTTAAACATCACAGTAACATCAAATTTCAAGGGGAACTTAAGGCATCAAGCTGAACCGTGGCATTTGGCCGGAGAAAGACCGGTTTAGGATCCCCTGACCACCATAATTCCATTTTCCGATAGAATGACTTAGAACCGGTCTTTGACTCAACATTTGAACCGGAGGATTTCTCCATTTTGGAATCGGACCGGTTATGAACAATGACTCAACCAACGATCCAGCTTCAATGACAGCTTGCTGGAACTTACCATTCTCCGGCAACACTCTTCCGAGTCCTATAATCTCCAGCACAACGGTCTCCAAATCTTCCTTTTCCTGAAAACCCATCTGATTTGACCGGAGGCTGTAACAATCAGAATCGTAGGTCTCCGGCGAGGAATACACAGTTGAGTTAGAGACGAGATCCATCGACGATGCGGACGAGAATCGCGAAGGAGAATCGCTAGAGAAGTTATTGTAAATATAGTTTTGATAATCGGCGGTTTCGTCTGTGGTTTCTGAGTAATAATAAGGTATTATTTGTTGTTGTTCTGACAAAAGAATGGTGTTGAAGTGTTCCTGTATTCTAGACAGTTCCGCGAGCGATTGTTTCAGATGTTCTCTTGCTTCGTCTCTTTCTTGGACAGCAAGTCTCCATAGATGATAATACTGATAAGTTTCTTGGTACATTTTTTATATATTTTCTTGAGAAAAATGATCTGCCCAAAGTAAAAGAAGTTACATTTTTAGCAGATATTATTGAATAGTTTATTTATTTTCATAATTGGAGGAGATATACTAGACGAAACATTTACCTCATAAATTAAGATCTTTCACGCCAAACCATCCATGAGTTTCATCTTCTTCTTTTTTTTTTTGTTGTTGTGGAAAAATTGTAAATCAAGAACAATGAAGAAGAATTAAGAAATGTGGGATTTCATTTATAAGACGCTAAAATGTATAATTAATTAGAGTGTGTGCATTTATAACTATCCTTTTACTTTAGTGTTCTAATTCAATGTCGTAATCTGTAATGGAAAGTTTATTATTGTTCTTTTCGAGTCTGTAATTATCGGAGAAGATTTTATTGATTCACTTGCACTATATAAGGCGATTTGTTTTAAGCCGAACCGGTATATAAGGTAACTAGACATTCTAATTAGGGAAATATAATATTAGATTGATAGTTCTTTCTTAAGAGTCACATAGATTAATCACCTTACATATACTGTACGATTTCGACATAGTACTTTGTGGCTTTTTAATTTGGAGTTAATTATTAATTCAATTTAGGAAGTGTGACTATATTGTTAATCCTTGCGTTCTTATTTCCTTATTTGATATCGGTGAATAGATGCACGAATTACCAATAAACCAAAGCAAGCACACATAAAATGTGCACAAACCGGTGAGATTAGTTCCCGATTTGTCAAACCGGTGACGTGGTAGTCTAAATAGTGGTTATTCGGTTTGACACGTGGCAGTTTATGAGCCTTGAGCTTCACATGCATACGTGTTTGTTCCTGACACTTCTTCGCTCACACGCTATAGAAGCCTCAAGAGTCGTTTATTCAGTTTTGTTGTCAAAAACATTTTCATTTTCTCAACAATCCAAATTGCTTCGTTTTAATCGTTTGATGTCTACAATATATACCAAAAATGGGATTAACGACGAATCTCCATAGCTTAAACCTTCGTTCTACCTTCTTCTTCACCAATCCTCTTCCTTGCCATACACCTACACTATTCACCTTCAAACTCTCCTCTGTTTCTAACCCTAGACGAGAATTCCCCATTATTAGAGCTCAAGCTTCCGCAACCAGCTCCAATCCAGAGCTCGAATCTCTCTTCTCTACCGATCGGAAACTGATCGGTAAGCAATCAAACAATGGTGCGTCTTCGATTTCGTCTGGAGTGAGACTTGAGAACATTAGCAAGAGCTATGAAGGCGTTACAGTGCTAAAGGATGTGACTTGGGAAGTGAAGAAAGGAGAAAAAGTAGGTTTAATCGGCGTTAACGGTGCGGGGAAGACGACACAGCTCAGGATCATAACGGGTCAAGAAGAACCTGATTCAGGAAACGTGATTTGGGCCAAACCCAATTTGAAAGTTGCTTTCTTGAGTCAAGAGTTCGAGGTTTCGATGGGGAAGACAGTGAAGGAAGAGTTCATGAGTGCGTTTAAGGAAGAGATGGGAATAGCAATGAAGCTTGAGAAGTTGCAGAAGGCGATTGAAGAAGCTGTTGATGATTTGGAACTAATGGGAAAGTTACTAGATGAATTCGATTTGTTGCAGAGACGAGCTCAAGAGGTTGATTTGGATTCTATCGATGCTAAAATCAGTAAACTGATGTCGGAATTAGGGTTTGTGTCGGAGGATGCAGATAGGCTTGTGGCTTCTTTTAGTAGTGGATGGCAAATGAGAATGTCACTTGGGAAGATTTTGCTTCAGGTAATAATGAGACATGTGTTTTCTTTGAGAATGGGATTCCTTTGAAAGCTAGCTAATGTGTGATTTTGTGAACAGAATCCAGATTTACTGCTATTGGATGAGCCAACGAATCATTTGGATCTTGATACTATTGAGTGGCTTGAAGGTTACTTGAATAAGCAAGATGTGCCTATGGTTATTATATCACATGACAGAGCGTTTCTTGATCAGTTGTGTACTAAAATTGTTGAAACCGAAATGGGAGTTTCGAGGACTTTCGAGGGTAATTACTCTCAGTATGTAATTTCAAAGGCAGAGTGGGTTGAAGCTCAGTATGCTGCTTGGGAGAAGCAACAGAAAGAGATTGAAGCAACAAAGGATTTGATTAGTAGGCTTAGTGCTGGAGCAAATTCTGGTCGAGCTTCTTCAGCAGAAAAGGTATTAACTATTAACTAGTACTTATGAAACAGAGAATGTATGAAACTTACTTGAATTCTGTTTATATATACAGAAACTGGAGAAGCTTCAAGAAGAGGAGCAAATAGAGAAGCCATTTCAGCGGAAACAAATGAAAATCAGGTTTCCGGAATGTGGATTAAGCGGAAGATCTGTAGTCACTGTTAAGAATCTTGGATTTGGTTTTGAGGATAAGGTGAGATGATATAATTAGTAAAATGCTGTTGGTAGTCCGTTTTATTGCTTGTGTGTGGCCTTGTGTTTTGATCTGTGTGTCTGATGCAAGCAGATGTTATTTAACAAGGCGAATCTAGCGATAGAAAGAGGAGAGAAAGTCGCTATTATTGGTCCAAACGGGTGCGGTAAAAGTACATTGTTGAAACTGATTATGGGTTTGGAGAAGCCTATGAGAGGTGAAGTGATTCTTGGGGAGCACAATGTATTGCCAAACTACTTCGAGCAGAATCAGGTTTGCTCTATCATGAAGAAAGGGCTTAATAGAGGAATCAGAATTATGGGTTTTACTCACTTTTTAACTGTAGGCAGAGTCTCTAGATTTGGATAAGACTGTGATTGAGACAGTTGTTGAAGCTGCTGTAGATTGGAGAATTGATGATATAAAAGCTCTTCTTGGTCGCTGCAACTTCAAAGCTGACATGTTGGATAGAAGGGTCTCTCTTTTGAGTGGTGGTGAGAAGGTAACATAATGCTTAATTTTCTTCTCTCAGTATAATACTCATATTGTCTCATTCATGTTCATCATAGCCATTTTTCTTGCGGTGTTAGGCACGCCTTGCATTCTGCAAATTCATGGTGAAACCATCCACTCTACTTGTGTTGGACGAGCCCACCAATCACTTAGACATACCTTCAAAAGAAATGCTTGAGGTCTCTAAATATACTCTCCTCTTTTCAATTGGCCAAACTGTGCTTGGAGGTTGAGTATGATCTGATTCTTCTTTCATCAGGAAGCGATAAATGAGTACAAAGGCACGGTCATTACAGTCTCACACGATAGATACTTCATTAAACAGATTGTTAACAGAGTAATTGAAGTCAGAGATGGTGGTTTAATGGACTATGCAGGAAACTACAATGTAACGAAATCTCTCTCAACCTAGTTTCCTCTTATAAATAGACCTTTGCCAAATTTGTTCATTCTAGTTTGTGTTTTGAAATGTTTCTCAGTATTACCTAGAGAAGAATGTTGAAGCTAGAGCAAGGGAGCTGGAGAGGGAAGCAGAATTGGAGGAAAAAGCTCCAAAAGTGAAAGCAAAGTCAAAGATGTCAAAGGCTGAAAGAGAAGCACGGAAGAAGCAAAAGATGAAAGCGTTTCAAGCTTCCAAAAAGAAGTCTAAGTCCAGCAAAAATGCCAAGAGATGGAATTAAAGCTTCACACATAGCTTTAGGTCTAGTATGTAATATAGTGTTATCCGTTACTCAGATTTAGTGAAAAAGAAATGGTATATTCATTGAAAGCTTAGAGATTCACTGATGGATCATCCATTGTAAATTACATTTCATTTAACATGAAAGTATCATTCAAGAGATTCTGGGAATTAAAGCTTAATAATTTCAGACATGAAAAACTAACTCCAGAGATATTTGATCAGACATCAGCTAGAAGGCAAGTAAAGCATCCTGCCAAATGTTCTTAGTCTAAGATCTTGAGAATCTTCTGCTCTACTCGAATCTCTTGACAAGAGAGAGATCATTAAGCATCTTCTCAATTGCTTCATCATCATGAGCTCTTCCTTTTGTCTACACAAAAGAGAAACTTATATCATCTCAAAAGTCCACTGACATAACAATACTATTTGTCCTTTTGAGGTTATCTGATCTCCACTGAATAGAAAGAGTAGAATATTTTTTACCTTAAGAGAAGGAACCATTGCCACTGCTTCTTCAACAGTTTCAGGACAGAGATTGCCAAGAACACATAGCTGTTCAATAATGACCAATGCAATGGTTTAAGTCGTCTGCCGAAACGACTTAATTGATAACAAATATCCAATCTCAAGAGATTTAACATTTTACCTCAAACTCAGTGAGTTGATGTCTGCTCAGTATTCTGTGAAAGTTGAGTTAAGGTAAACTAACGAATAAAACCAGTGACTCTAAACATGCATTCATCGTTCAGTGCTACGAAAAGCAAAATCAAGATGCAAGCATGCCAACATAACGATTGGTTAAAAACTATGAATCAAAGTAATTCAGAAAGAGGATACTCTCGAACTTGTCTAACAGCGTCTGGATTCTTGTACCGGCTGAATCGCTTCACATATTGCAAGGACTTCTCAAACACTCTGCAAGGAGAAAACATAACTTCTTCAACAATATTCATCAAAAAAACATTGATTCACTAATCTACAAGTAACATATAAAACTGACCAAATTCTTCAATTCATGATTGCTAATAAACAGTGAATCTTTATGAAACACAAAAACTAATAATACTTACTGAGAAACTTGATTCATAGGATCCTCTGAGACTTGTTGAAGCTGTTCAAACTTGTGCTCAAGAATCAAAGAGACTTCACAATTCATTAAGCACTTTGCCTTCAAAAACTCTATTGCCAAGAGAATAAATAAAACCCATCAGCGAAATCTCAAAAGATTTAAGTGATTTCAATAAAGGTAAATTCAACTAAATCGTATTGCAGTAAGATCAATTCGATGAGGCAAAAAACCCTAATTTTGAGGTACACAGCGGCGGATATGGAGAAGAGAATAGAAAATTACCATCTCCGATCTTGAGTTCGGCGGCGTTCTCTTCTTCTTCTCCGGACATGGCGATTACCAATGAGGGAAATCGAAACCTAAAAGTTTTTTTTTCCGTCTAACAACGAAAGTGAATATAACTATAGACCAAAGAAACATCAACCGGTTATATATAATACGAAAAAAGGAAAAACGAAACAGGTTAAGAGCATCATTATTGAGGGTCTCTTATTTTTAGCTCTTAACTATTTTTTAAATTTAAAGTATGCTTTTTCAAAGTTAAGAGTCCTATGATTGTTTCTTAACAATTTTCTCTTCCAATGGTAATCTCTAATGAGGTTCTTAAGAAGCAAAAAAAAATCAATATTTTGCAAAACAATAATCATTGATGATATCTCAGTTTTGTAATGGTTGTCATTGATGCTAATCATGTAATCAATCATTCGGTGTTTTAATGGAATTTGAGAGAATCAGTAATGAATTGGTCACAACAAAACTTGTTTGGGTTTTTTGATGATACAAAAGATTGCAAAAGAGATCATATCTAATCCAAAGATTGTGTTGATCAGACTTTTACATTGTCTTGATCTTCTTCTTGATTCTTGTCCTTCTCCATCTCCCAATGAACTTGAGAGCTTCATCGATTAGAATCACAGGGAAGGAAACAAGAATAACCACAAACCATTCCCTGAAACTCAAAGGCACAATCTCAAACACATTAGCTAAGAAAGGAACGTAGAGGATGAAGCAGTGAAGCACGAAGGAGACAGTCATGGGCACTAGTAGCCAAGGGTTTCTCCATGGTGGCATCGTTAAGAGACTGTTGTCTTCGGACAACGCGTTCAACTAGTTAAACATCTCAATAGCCACAAAAACAGAGAGCGATAGAGTCATTGGCTTGTCTTTCCCTAGAGTGAAGTAATCGCAAGGATTGTTCTCAAATGTGATTGCTCACAGTTCCATCCCCAATACCTTTCTCCCCACGTTCAAGCTCCTCCAACAACCGGAAATTCTCCGGAACTATATTGTAATAACAATCATAAGGAAAATACCAAATCCTTAACAGTTTCAATACAAACATCTCAAAGTAACCTAACAATCATGCCTCTAGCATCAAAAACTTATCAAATTCGTGAATTATAAAAAGATCCAACAGAGTATTAATCGAAACAATCATCAACACTCCTGAAAAAAACATTCTCGGACAACAATCGGCTTTACACATGCCTAGTTTCTTTTACTATCATAACAATCGGCTTTACTCATGTATTACAACACAAACAGACACTCGTTAACCTAATGATTCTAATTACCCTAATTTTACTAACAACGAATAACCTTAAAATCCCCAATTCCATGAACCCTAATTCTAAAAACTCTAATCACATATCAATTCATACAATCAGAGATAGATTCATACCATGAAAAATCGATTGGAGAAAGCTTAACTCCGATTTGTTGAAAATAAATCGGAGATCTTGTGAATTTCAGTGGAAGAAGAACAACACTCCGACAACACTCGTGAAAGAGAGAGAGAGAGAAACAGAAGGAAAATAAAACGCATGTGTGTTTTTTCGGATTACCCATACACAACACGCCACGTGGACGTCTCTTAAGGTTAATTTTGTTCCTTAGTTAAGGAACGTTCCTTAGTGTAAAAGGAGTAAAAGCATTAAATTTAATCAGTTTTTTCCCTAAGATTTCCCTAACAGACTGCCGATAATGATGCTCTAATTAGATAAATGAAAAATTGAAATAAAGCAATAATATGATTTTTATAAATCCTAGAATGAGTTGTGCACAAAAAAAAACAAAAATAAATCCTAGATTGAATAACAAGAGCACAAATTGAATAACATGTATTATAAGCAGTGAAAAAAAAACCAAAATCTTCTGAAATCCTTGTTTCACTAAACCATATAAATTATTTTCTTAATGGGTATCCTACGTCTGTCTCTGTCTGCTTCTTCCCGACCAATCTTGCAACGAGGACAATGACAATGCTCATCCTCTCGAATTTCACCTTCTTCAATCTCATCATCATTCCTTGTTCTTTTTCTTGTGATTGTTTCCGAAATTTCATTCTTTTTCAGTTGTTGGATCTCTGTTTTCATTAGTGTGTTGAACATTTGAGAAAGAACCTTGTCTTCTTCAAACAGATTTTTAAGAGACTTTATGAGTTCATCTCCTTGTATATGCCGGGACCTAAATTGTTTCATCAAGCCCATGTATTGCTTGAGTTTCGGCTCACTTAGTCTTTCTTTGATGAACTTCGCTATATACAAAAACCAATGCTTACATTCGGCTTCGCTCATAGTCTTTGTTGTCTTCATCGTTTGGATACAACAATTTGTTTTTTCTTTCTATTTCTTACAATTGTGATTTATGAGTTTAACAAAAAAAAAATAAACAATTGTGATTTATGAGTGTATTTAGAAGCAACTGAGTTGTTTATTATAATCCAATTTAGTTTAGGATTCTAAATTCTAAAGATAATACTTATCAACTTTATTAAAAAAACAAAAAAGATTATACTTATCAAGAGATTTTTAAAATAATAAGAATACTAAGATTATGTCAAAAAGATTATGTTTTATTACAGAAAACCATGTGAGATTTGATGTGTGTTTTAACTTCAGAAGTTAACATCCATCCGCTTAGACCGGCCATTACCATTGTTGGTTTCCTCTACACTGGAAAGAGAGAATCTCGGAATGGCGTAATTGTAACGGTCAGGTGGTTGCTGCGGATAGAGTTTAGGAGGCTGCATGAGCTTGTGTTGCGGTAATGTGTTATACTTGGAAGGATCTCCTTCCCTTAGGCTGCAAAATTCAAAACCAAAACCCGATAAAGAAAAGAAATGCAAAATTTTGCGATGATGATAAATATATGTACCTTGTTCTTTTATAGAACTGATCTTCATCACTTGTGCCCTCGTCTAACCGCTGGGAAGGTCCAGGGGAAAGAGACCATGCTGAAGAAGGCGACGGTAGTTCGTCTGAGAAATATCTTCTTCTTATCAACTGGAAACGAAACACATTCATTAGATTGAAGAGAAAGAGAGAGAGAGAGCTACTGGAAAACATGGGAAGGTCAGAAATAACACCAACCATATGGAAAAATTTGTTCAGAGCTTCTTTGTCATATCTAGCTTCCTTAGCAGCCTGTCATATCAGAGTTTCACCAAAATTATATGACATACCGTATAACACCGATTCAAGAACTAGTAATTTAGTCTGTGGTTACCATTATGAGACCACCATTGCTAGGGATGCTCTCAGAGAGAGGAAGTTCATCACTATGGGGAAGCAGACCTTGCTTCTCAACCCACTGACGAGCTGCATCAACAAGATTGCCACTGCTTCCACTTGTTCCTCCCTTTGAACTTGCAGCAATATCGGCTTTGTTTCCAATTACGATGTATGGGACGGGAAGACCACCAGGCCCACCAGAAGAAAGGGGAGCTGAAAACGCCCCATTTACTGAAACTTCACCTGCCCATTTCTGCAAATTTGTTTTTGTTCTTCTTTGGGAAAGATCATGAACAAAGATAACTCCTGCAAAATTAAACAATCTCTTCTGTAATGCGACAAGACAGAGACAGAGATGACATTATTTGAGACAGAATTGAGAAGACAGACCATTAACTTGTGAATAGAACAGTGAGCGGCAATCTTTGTATCGTTCATGACCAGATACATCCCAAAGTTCGACAAAGAAATCTCTCTCTGAGTCACCTTTAATGCTACTTGAAGAACTAGCAGGACTTGCGTAAGTTAAGTGCTGCACCAAAGAGAGTTCCAGAAACTAAGTAGGGAATTTATCCCAAGCTCTCTTTAACCATATCGAGAAATTTTTACAGAACAGCTTAAGTTACCTTGACACCAACTGTACATCCAATAGTTTGAGATGGGCGAACAATAGAAGAGCCTTTGACAATGAGATGCACAAGAGATGATTTTCCCACACCTAATTTGATATCCAGAGATGAAAATTTGATCAATAGTGGAGAAGATGTAGTAGACTTTAAAAGAAAAAGGACTTGTTTACTTACGAAACTTGACTCTTATTAGGTTCCACAACTAAAAACTTCTATCCAAATCAATCATGATAAATCTATCTTTTCAAGCTTCTCATTAGCTCCATCTTTAAGGATGACAAATATTGAGTTTGTGCACTACGCCACTACGATACACTTTCTTTTGTTCCATAAAATGGCTCTACTCAAAAATCTATAACCATTATCAAATCTAACACACAGTTTATTATCACCTGAATCACCAACCACCAAAACTCGAATTTGGCCGCATAATGGCGCTACGATATGTTCTTTATTTTCCCTGTCACGTTCCCTCCAAAACCGCATTTTGATTACTCTCCAGAAGCACTTCGACCAAAAGAGAAGCTTCCAGAAATTATCATTTTCAAACTCCGACTCAGTAAGCGGATAATTCTAATCCATCACTTTGCATATTGCAAAACAGAGTCTCGGTTACAGATCCTTCACATTCATAGTGCAAATAATCTCAAGTGCACAAATCAAAACCAACACCGAAGTTTACAAAATTGATTGCGAAAATCAGAAAATCTACAGAGATACAAACGAGGATCAAAATTAGAATTCGAAGAGCGTGATAAGACTTTCTCAGAAAGATCTTTCTACCTAAATCAAGTTCCTCCTTAAATGTTCTTCTTCTCGATGAATCTAGGAAACAATTCAGACAAGATCTTTCCAGTAATCTCGAGACAATGAGGTCTCCGTCGACATAAAAGGATCCAGAAACTCTGGTTTTGCTACCAAAATTCCAAGATTTCGTGAGATTTGGGCGGAAAGAAAGAACGAACGACATGAGTTTGTTGGGATCGGTTCGAAACTTCTGAACCGGGATTACATACCAAACCGGATCGAGAATAATTAGTTAATGGCCCATTAGCGGCCCATTTAAGAAGATCCATCGACCGAAGAATCTGAGATTTCTTGTTCAAGGGGTTGGGAACTCTGCGATTTATCTGTGCTCAGCTACTCCCAAAAGCGAGCTCTCTCATCTCTCTCTCGTCTCCTCCTTCTCCATACTCTAAAGCTTCTTTGTTCCGTCATCAGAATTTCAACTACTCGTGCTTTGAGTTTGATTCTCGTTGGATTTTTCACGATGGCGAGTCTTCAATTCCTCAGATCTGATGTTAAGTTTTTTCCTCGTTTCGAAATTTTGCATCTTCTCATTCCGTCATTGTTTGGATTGGATTTCAGGGAGACAGCGGGAAGCTTGAGGCAACGGTAGATCGGCTTCTGAATGAAGAGAAGCAGATGAGACTCGCGGAAAACGTCGCCGGTACAAGGAAAGCCGCCACTGAGATTCTTCAGCTTTGTTTCGAAGCTAAGGATTGGAAGCTTCTGAATGAGCAGATTCTCAATCTGTCTAAGAAACGTGGTCAGCTCAAACAGGTACTTGGAATTTTGTTTAAAATCTATCAGTGTTTGTGTATTAAGCTCTTAAGGAAGATGGACTTTTGGTTTGGGATAATTTGGAAGGATTTGTTTAAGTTGGAGATTTTGTTTGAATTTTTATTGTGATTTCTTCCACATTTGATTTCTGGATTGCATAGGCCTAGTTTTTGGTAACCCTAATCTTGGAAAGAGATTCAGGACATAAGCACAAATTCAGGAGGATTCGACTTTGTGTTGGATACAAGCTTCTTTTACTTGGATTTTGTCCTGTGATAATAGGTTGCTTCTACGATTCCTCTCTATGATTTTGATAGATTCACTGTTGACTTGAATATTAATACTAAATTGGGTCATTGCAGATAGTGATAGTTGTATTTAGTTCAGTTTATTACTTAACTTAGTTTCATTTTCAGTATTTCGTTGGTTTTACTTTTGCTTTGCGTGTTTTCTTGGTCTAGTTTCTTGATACAGAATTAGCTTAACTTTTTCTTGTACAGAATTATAGTTCAAAGTAAACGATACACCCTGGAAAGTCAACATCAGTGATTTTTTGTGAACTTCTCCCACTTGCAGGCTGTGCAATCCATGGTGCAGCAAGCGATGCAGTATATTGATCAGACACCAGACATCGAAACTCGGATAGAGCTTATTAAGACGTTGAACAATGTATCTGCTGGAAAGGTGCGGTACTAAGAAACTGATGGTGTTTTCTTCAATATCATAACTTCATCATTCTGTGTAATTGTTCAGCATTGAATTTTTCATGTATAGATATATGTTGAAATCGAGAGGGCACGTCTCACAAAGAAGCTTGCTAAGATTAAGGAAGAACAGGGTCAAATAGCTGAAGCTGCAGATCTTATGCAAGAAGTTGCTGTAAGATTTTGGCATTTGGCTATTAAATCTACTGGAAATTTTCTTCCCGTTTAACCCCTGCAATGTGATAATGAATCACAGGTGGAGACATTTGGCGCTATGGCAAAAACTGAGAAAATTGCATTTATCCTTGAACAAGTAAGGACTTGTGTGATTACGTTGCAAATTTTTTTTTTTTTTTTCTGGTGTTTTCTTTTGTGGTGCTAACTAGTGTGGTTAAACTTTGTAGGTTCGCTTGTGCTTGGATCGTCAAGATTTTGTTCGTGCACAAATCTTATCTAGGAAGATCAATCCTAGAGTTTTTGACGCAGACACAAAGAAAGATAAGAAGAAACCTAAGGAAGGTGATAACATGGTAGAGGAGGCTCCTGCTGATATACCAACCTTGTTGGAGCTTAAGCGGATTTACTACGAGCTTATGATTCGGTAAGGCCTTCTTGAGCTTCTCAATCACATTGTTCGTGATTTATATTTCCATTAGTTGTCATGGCATTTTAAATTCGTATATGATTGTTTAATTAAGGACCACTCTCCCAGTCTCTTGAAATCTATCAATCTATGTGGGTTTTGCTTGCTATGGTTTTCTCAGAGATGCATAGTACAACTTTTTCGCGGTAGACTATATCAAAATTTGGATGAATCTCCTGCTGTGTCAAATTTATATCTTTCTTTTCCTGGCCAACGATTTACGCATCAATTGCATTATGTTTTCCTCTGAATTCTGATGAACCATGATTGATTTCTGTGGTGTTCTCATCTTTTTATCAATAACCATATAAAAATTCAACTATGTAGGTACTATACTCATAACAATGAGTACCTTGAAATCTGCCGTAGCTACAAGGCGATATATGATATCCCTTCTGTAAAAGAAACACCGGAGCAGTGGATTCCGGTAGGCTCATGCCATTGATTGAAAGTTATATTTGTATACATTCTATAGGGTTAGTTTAGTAACTTTCTTTGATCTTCAAAACATTAGGTCCTGAGGAAGATCTGCTGGTTCTTGGTCTTGGCACCTCATGACCCAATGCAATCAAGCTTGCTCAATGCAACTCTGGAAGACAAGAATTTATCAGAAATCCCTGATTTCAAGTAGATTTTCTTTCCCGATAAATCTTGTTATTTCATTACTGATTCTTCTGTACTCAAATGGGTTCTGAGTCTTTTTGTTTGTTTGTTTGTTTGATATTATCCGTTTCAGGATGCTTCTAAAACAGGTAGTGACAATGGAGGTTATTCAATGGACATCTCTGTGGAACAAATACAAGGATGAGTTCGAGAAAGAGAAAAGCATGGTTGGAGGTTCTTTGGGTGACAAAGCTGGTGAAGATCTGAAACTGAGAATCATCGAACATGTAAGTCTCTCAATTTGTCTTAAAGCTTGTTTGCATCAATCACATCAATTGATTGATGCTTAAAGTTATTAGTATTTGAACTTGTTCATATTCTGCAGAATATCCTGGTTGTCTCAAAGTATTACGCAAGGATAACCTTAAAGAGACTTGCCGAGCTTTTGTGCCTGAGCATAGAGGTATATTTGATCTAATCTCACTGGCTATATAAAATATGCTTCTACTTGTTAAGCTCTTGATATATAATTGTTGGAAATTGTGATTTCAGGAGGCGGAGAAGCATCTGTCGGAGATGGTAGTGTCAAAAGCACTGATTGCAAAGATAGACAGACCATCAGGGATTGTGTGCTTCCAGATCGCAAAGGACAGCAACGAGATTCTAAACTCGTGGGCAGGGAATTTGGAGAAGCTTTTAGATCTTGTCGAAAAGAGTTGCCACCAAATTCACAAGGAAACCATGGTTCACAAAGCCGCTCTCAGACCTTGAAAACAACATGTGTCTTCATGAAACTTATTTCAGGATCTTCTTCGTTGAGTTATTAGCATCTTTATGTGGTAAAAACACGAACCAGTGTTTCCTTTTAAAAATGTACTATGATTGTGTACACTAACGAAGTTTTTTGCCACTTATTGGTTATTTCAAGTATTTGTTGTTGGTGGATTAATTTTTGGTTAAATTGTTAGAATTTTACATGAATTAAATTTTCATGTAACGAGAAGAATAATCTCGTGTGTCCTCAAGTTTCAGGAGATAGATCCAAACCTTGCGCTGACAGAAAGTCGGACGATAAAAAAATTGCTTCAAAGATTGCAAGTTAATAATAGCTAAAATTATGATGGCACAGGCACATGTATATTCTTCCATACTCTTAAAAAAAACTAATAAAATTGTCTATTTGTTGTTAATTAATTTAATTAAAATTTAATAGAGGAGACAGCTTTGCCAGTTCATCTCTGGTAAATAGTCCACGTTCTGGCGTCTTTGGGATTTCACCAACACCGTGACAGCTCCTTAGATCTCTCCTCGATTACTTCCTTTTTAATTTCTATGGCTCTCTAAAATCTCTCCCTCTCTCTCTCTCTTACTTGTATTACGATCTCTGCTTGAAGACTATGGACGGCGCCGATGGAACCGTTCGCGTCAAACCTGGTCGCGGATTTGAAACGGAGACGGATGTTGCGGTTTCGTCGCCAGTGACACGTCAGAAAGCTGCTGCAGCTAAGCAATTCATCGAGAATCATTATAAGAATTACTTGCAAGGCTTGCACGAACGAATGGAGAGGTTTGGATTCGGATTTTTGTTTGTGTGAATAGATGATGATGAATCTCTCTGATCTGGTCGAGATGACTTGTGTTTGACTTGAGATTTTTGAAATTACAGACGCAGGGAGTTTCAGAGGAAAGTGCAAGAAGCTCAGTTACCTGTCGAGGAACAAGATGAGATGATGAGGAATCTGGCACGTCGTGAAACTGAGTATATGAGACTTCAGAGACGTAAAATTGGGATTGATGACTTTGAGCTTTTGACCGTTATTGGCAAAGGTGCCTTTGGTGAGGTACAATATCACATTTTATTTCCCAAATCGAGCTTGATCTATGCGTTTCTCTAGAAATTGACTATTAAGGATTCACTCTCCAGGATATCTTTTAATCTCTCAAATTGTAATTCAGGTTAGATTATGCCGTTTGAGATCTACATCTGAGGTTTATGCGATGAAGAAATTGAAAAAAACTGAGATGCTTAGCCGTGGACAGGTACAAAAATCCCCTCTATTTTTGTTGTAACATGTTTGAGAATCGTAGTACTACTAGTAAGTGCAAGATTGATGCCTGGTATGAGCTGAGAAAAACTTTCTACCTTTTGCTTATCATTGGACTGGCTTCACTAGGTTGCTTCAGTTTTGGAAGTTTTTGTGCTTGTGCAGAGACAAATGAATAATTGGACCATTTTTTTTCTTTTAAATGGTTTTGTGTCTCTAGGTTGAGCATGTCAGGTCCGAGAGGAACTTACTTGCAGAAGTTGACAGCCGTTACATTGTAAAGCTTTTTTACTCTTTTCAAGATTCTGAATGTTTGTATCTTATCATGGAGTATTTACCTGGGGGTGACATCATGACTTTACTCATGAGAGAAGACATTCTTTCTGAAGACGTTGCCCGTTTTTATATTGCGGAGAGCATTCTTGCTATCCATTCAATTCATCAACACAACTATGTTCACAGGTATAATATAACTTTTGACATCATTTTTATGCCTAGTGATTTAGGGTGTTGGAGAGATCTCTATGCATCATTAAAACTCCATGTTTACTATTTGGCTCTTTGGTTTCTTGATTTGAGTTTGTTTCTTCTTGCCTGTAGGGACATCAAACCTGACAATTTGATACTAGACAAAAGTGGTCATTTGAAGCTTTCGGATTTTGGCTTATGTAAGCCACTAGATGATAAGTATTCTTCACTGCTATTAGAAGACGATGAAATGTTGTCTCAGGATTCAGAGAACCAGTCAGGAAAATCAGACGCTGACAAAGCACCCTGGCAAATGCCTAAAGAGCAGTTACTGCAATGGAAGCGCAATCGCCGTGCATTGGTATTTATACTGCTTCTCTTATTGAATTACATGGGCTACTCATTTTATGCTACACTATAGAGATCAATTACCACGTCCAGTATAGCTTGGGTAATCAAGAGGTCTCTCTTTTTTATAGGCTTATTCAACCGTTGGAACTCTTGATTACATGGCTCCAGAAGTACTGCTAAAGAAAGGATATGGAATGGAATGTGATTGGTGGTCTCTCGGTGCAATTTTGTATGAGATGTTAGTTGGGTATCCCCCGTTCTGTTCTGATGACCCCCGTATAACATGCCGCAAGGTAGGTGTATACAACTGGTTAGTCATGCAAATTTTTTATATATAGTAGAAATATTCATGCCTGCTTAAAGACTTGTGCTTCTTATCTCAGATAATTAATTGGAGGGTATGCTTGAAATTCCCTGAAGAACCAAAAATATCAGATGAAGCCAGAGACTTGATTTGTCGGTTGCTTTGTGATGTTGATTCAAGGTTGGGAACCAGAGGTGTTGAGGAGATAAAGGTGCGACTTCTGAAAAGGATATGTAGAAATACGTTTTAGTTTCATTATCCTTGATATCATTGTAATCTATTTTGTTCATGCTTCAGTCGCATCCATGGTTCAAAGGCACCCCATGGGACAAACTGTATGACATGGAGGCAGCTTATAGACCCATTGTCGATGGAGAACTAGACACACAAAATTTTGAGAAGTTTCCTGAGGTAAGTATGATAGAATCTCAAAAAGCTTGTCATGACATGATTTGTGGCATGAGACATTTTGTTGAAACCGACTAGTTGGTGAACCTAAAACTTGTTTTAAAACTGGTTATGAGAAGTCAAAACTGTCTAATGGATCTTAGTGTAACCCTTTGATTTCATTGCTAAAATGAGAAAGTCAAACCGTCTAATATCCTCATCAATTATCTTGTAGGTTGAAGGATCACCATCCGAAGCACCACAAGTTGGTCCTTGGAGAAAGGTGAAGCACTCTACTTGATTCCTATAATATAATCTGTGCTGCAAATTGGCATATGCGAAAATTTCTCTGGACTCTATAAAGCTAGCAGATTATGTTTTGTTATGGTTGAGAGTATCAACGAGTTTGGATAGTATTCTATTGACGGAAACAACTTGGTGCTAACTGATAAATTGATTGAGCAGATGTTGACGTCCAAGGACACCAACTTCATAGGATTTACATTTAAGAAGTCAGACATCACAAGATCAATGGAAAGTTCAGGTAGTCTTCATATCTACTGCTTATGTGTTTACTTATTAGAACTTGCTCTTAAGCTAAATTGTCTTCTAGAGAAAAGGTTCAATAGTTGGATATAGTTCTAAGTTTCAGTTGTGGCATTGAAAAGTAGGTGCGGACATGAAATCAAATGGATCAGGGGAAGCCCCGTCGTTGATATCATTGTTAGGTATGTAACCAAATTGTAAACCCCGCAAAGCGAGTGATAGTTTTGTGGTTGTAGAGGACAGATTGACATGTGAATATGTATATATGATTCAGGTCGGATCAATATGGAAGAAGGTGAAGGTGGTGAGTTAAACCACAAGACATAGAGAAGAAATACAAATATTATTGATTTTTTATCCGTTTGCAGTTGTTTTGATCATATGGCAGAGGCAATGGAGGCGATGGTAGTTTTTTAACCACATCACTTATGATGGGTTCATAAAAACTTCTATTTCCCCCTCTCTTTTTTCTTGTAACATATTTGTTTTTTTTTAATCTAAAAAAGAAACTGTAAAGCATGGAAGAATAATTTCTTGAACATTTTTACCCACAAGTTATCCATACATCAAAATGAAGCTCGCTTTTCTGCCATACTCTTTATCCATCTCTACACAATAATTAGCGAGAAAACATAACAATTTAGGATGTTTTAAAAATTATTAAGAGAACTGGGCCTTTTCTATTACAACTATTGGGCTCATCACTGTCGTAACCGATGTTATGTTTTGAAGTACCGTTTATAACCTCCGCTATCATCTTCTTCTAGATATCGATCTAACAGGCACAACTAAATTCAATTATCTCATTAGCTTCTTCCAATTCGAAACCCTAACAAAAGCCCTAATTGACGAAATTTGCCGAATCGTTGACGACAATGGAGTTTGACGAATACGAGTACCTTGAGAAGACGGTGGAGGAAGGAGATGGGTCGAATAAGAACAAGGAAGCGAGTGGGAACGAGAAGAGCGAGAGGAGTTACAGAAAGAGAGAAGGAGGAGAGAGGCATGACGAAGAAGGCGGTGACGAAGAGCGAGGTAGCAGTCGGAGTAAGAAGTCTCGCGGAGACGGTGAAGAGAACGGTAAGAGAGAGAGGCATAGGAGCAGCAGAGATAAGGATCGAGAGAGGGATAAGGTTAGAGAAGGATCGAGAGATAAAGAGAGCGATCGGGAGAGGAGTAGCAAGGAGAGAGATAGGAGCGATAGGGAAAAAACCCGAGATAGAGAGAGAAGAGAGAGGGAGAGGAGGAGCAGCAGTAGATCTCGGAGGGAGGAGAGGGAACGTGAAGTAGTGGAAAGAGGAAGCAGGTTTGTTGAATTCTTGTTCCTTGTTATGTGCAAGTGTTATATGAATGATGCAAAACTCCAATGTTGTTTCTTTAGAACGGTTTTTAAATGATTTTCACGATTGCAGGAGACACAGGGACAAGAAAGATGAGCCTGAAGCAGATCCAGAGAGAGATCAAAGAACCGTTTTTGCATATCAGGTAGGTTCTTATACATTGGTTTTACTGATTTACTGATTTCGTTGACCTAATCTGGTTTTATTAATGAACAGATGCCTCTTAAAGCTACCGAGAGAGATGTTTATGAGTTCTTCTCCAAAGCGGGCAAGGTTAGTTACTTTGTACCTTTTCTAGTATGTTGTAGTTTTTGAGGCCATAGCAATTAGCAAGGTATTAATATTGATCCATGACTCTCAATTTTCAATTATAAGGTTCTAAATGTTTAAGTGATGGGTTGCTGTTTCGATGTGCTTGACCATGGCATATAATCCTTTTACTGAAGATTTAGATTTTCTTAAGTATGATATGTGTTGGGATCTGTAGTTCGTGTCTCTTATAATATAATAAACATTAATCCTTAGTGTGCTTCATTGACTTCTTATTTTGGCTTCGATAGAAACGCTTATTATTCTTCAGTGTTCAGTAATTTGTGTGATTTTATTATCTGGATGGCTAGACGTCTCTTGCTTACTGCGCAGAGCTGAATTTATCAAGTTTCTGCACTTTGATTTCCCTTTCTGGTCTTAATATTTTCGTCAAATGTCTGCTGTCTTTTCTTTTGGGTTTTGTTTTTTCTTTGTTCTTATTGTTCTCCGTTCTGTATAATTTCAGGTGAGGGACGTGCGATTGATCATGGACAGAAATTCAAGACGATCAAAGGGAGTCGGGTATGTTGCTTTCGGTTTCTATTAAACTTAGTTTTGTGTATGTGCACTTGGTACGTAATATTCTGCATATTCAGTTTTCTCTGCAATTTCAAGAATTCGATTCTGTATTCTTAGATGCACTAGCCATGCGATAATGATGAGGATGATGGCATTACCTTGCACCCTTGTTTAATCATTCTGCGTGGTCAAGGTAGATGTCAGAAAACCTGAATCCTATTTCAGTTGTTACTTTCCATTGCAAGCAAGCACTCTCAGGAAGGAGGAAATCCATTAGCCTATTAATCTTATTCACATTCTTTGTTTTATACTTCCTCCTAGTCGATGGTGCCTTCCCAGTCCTCTGTTTGGGATATTCACTGATTGAGTAGCTTGCTTCTATAGTCATTGCTGTTTTAGACTTGATTATTGTTCTCTTATCATGATGGGCTAACATTTTCTATTACTCTAGGCCTCCAACCCACCAAAAGAGACTCAGCTTGAACCCCCGCTCTAAAGTTTTTTGTTTCCAACTTCTCTTTGCTACTTGCTTTGTAAGTTTTTTTCTGATTTTTTCGTCCTATGTGTGCTTGAAGTCAAGTATATCTCCTTTTTTTGTACTTGCAGGTATATTGAGTTTTATGATGTGATGTCAGTTCCAATGGCCATAGCTCTGTCTGGACAACCGTTTCTTGGACAACCTGTGATGGTTAAGCCCTCTGAAGCGGAAAAGAATTTGGCTCAATCTAACACTACACCAGGTGGTACTGGCCCTGTAGATAGGAAACTCTATGTGGGAAATTTGCATTTCAACATGACAGAATTACAGCTTAGACAGGTGATATTTTTTTGTCAGTTTTAGACATCCCCTCTCTCCTTAGAGTTTTCTAGGTCAATGTCTTGAGGGATTTCCTAACAGGCTTTATTACATATGGACACTCCAGCAACTGTTTTTTTCAATACCGTTCATATTCTCACAGTTGTTCCCTTTTCTTTTTCAGATTTTTGAGGCATTTGGTCCCGTTGAGCTTGTTCAGCTACCACTTGATCCTGAGACTGGGCAGTGCAAAGGTTTTGGATTTATTCAGGTCAGTGGAACGTGTTTTTGAATTAGTTGGTACTCAATTTCTTAGTTATTCCTCACTGAGTTTTATTTTCTCTTGCATAGTTTGCTCAACTTGAACATTCAAAGGCAGCACAAATTTCCTTAAATGGGAAGCTGGAGATTGCTGGTAGGACAATCAAGGTGAGTTTTGAATTCGTTGTGGAAATATGATGAGTTCTTGGACTTGCATGTATCTAATGTTACTTTATCCGGGTTAATATTTTCCTTTTAGGTTTCCTCTGTCTCTGATCATATTGGTACACAAGATGCTGCTCCAAAATCTGCTGATTTTGATGATGATGATGGAGGTGGACTGGTAAGCTAGAGAACCTGTCCTTTTTACTCTTTGTATTCTTTCTCGTAAAGGTCTGTTTTTTAACGACTCTCTCTCCTCCCTCTCAGGCTTTAAATGCACAATCTAGGGCTCTGCTTATGCAGAAGCTGGATCGTTCAGGTATCGCGACGAGGTATGTCTCACTTGTCTGCATCTCTTTGCGCCATTTAGTTCTCAAATCTTTTATTTGCGAGTATTTCCTTATAACACATGGAATTCTATCCACAGCATTGTGGGGTCTCTTGGAGTACCAGGGCTAAATGGAGCAGCCTTTAATCAACCAGGCATGAATCCTAGTTTCCCAACACCAGTGCTTCCGACGACAGCAATCCCTTCTTTTGTCAACGAACCTGTTGGTCAGCCAAGTGAATGCCTCCTATTGAAGAACATGTTCGATCCTGCAACCGAGGTCAATTCTTGCTTCTTCTTTTTTTGTTTTGTTAGAACTGTGAAAAACCAAGTCTCAGCCTTATTTAATTGGATGCCTGCTGACTCTTTTCTACAATTACTATTAACGTCAAACCTTTATTTTGCTGCAGACGGAACGAGACTTTGACTTTGAAATTAGAGAAGACGTTGCGGATGAATGTTCGAAGTATGGGGAAGTCAATCATATTTACGTAGACAAGTAAGTATTTTAATTAAAATGTCTTGCATGTTTGGCTGTTGATGTTTATAGATATGTGACATTGGTCTGAATCTGGTAAAATGCAGGAACAGTGCGGGGTTTGTGTATCTGAGGTTTCAATCAGTAGAGGCGGCAAAAGCAGCTCAAAGAGCAATGCACATGAGATGGTTTGCACAAAAGATGATATCTGCAACTTTCATGGTAAAATAGTAGTGTTCATCTCTTTCTTTCTTATTTTCATCTGTTTACTAAATGAATACTTTTTGATTGCAGCCTCCTCATGAATATGAAGCCAAAGCCAAGGCCTGAATTGAAGGCAAGTCGGGTTTTTGTCTTTCGTAGATTTTCTTGTTCTGACTGGTTTAAACCTGAACTGAACTGCTATCCAGATTCAATCTCTTGTCTGAAATATGTTATATAGATCAAAAGATTATGGGGACCTTCTTTCCCTTCTTCTTTTTTCCGTCCTCGTTGGTTGTAACTTTACCATATCTTATTGATCTTAAAAAATATTTTTTAGTCTATTTAAACTGTTTACATTTTTTGTCTTATAACATTATTCACTGAATGAAGACCAAGTGCTCACGAAGCAGCAGCTTGGAGTGCAGACTATTCCTTAGCCAGATTCAAAACCCTTCGATTTAGTCTCATGATTTCGTTTCGTTTTTACATTCCAGTCCACCTATAATTTCTGCCGTAATGTCGTTTTAATGTTGAGTTTCGTAAAACTCATGCAAAACATCAGACAATGAATTCAACGACTTGTAATCCAAAGTATAGACCAGTTAGTCAGATAAAACGTAGTTCAACACCAAAATCCATGACGCTCTAGTCGACTGACCACGACCCTCGTGCTTGGTTTCAGTCAATTTCACCTGCAATATCTATAGAGAAATGCGAGTACCAAATTTAATGAACCCATTAATTCAAGCAAGTGTCCCTAACTAGAATACATTCACACGTTAGTCAAATCCTATTTTTATTATTCCGATCAGTAACCAAGTCACATTCTTTTATCACCTTTAAACGTACCCACCTAAGTGGTTGTATCACAACACATTTCCATTAACAGTTTCGAGACTCAAATGAAACCAAATCACCATTTTCCCCTTTTGTTCCCATTCCTCCTCCGTATATACACTACTTTTGCCTCTAACTCGGGTCAGAAGTATTACAAACACCCCCGTCTTCCCGAAATCCCACATGTCCATCTCCGCCCGCTAGCCCCAAGGATTTATTCTATGTCTCGTCTGCATTGGTCTTGTCCGCTCTAGAGGTCAAAACATTTTTCCGTGAGTTTCGAAACTATAAATGATATCTCCACTCCGAATCAACCGTTCAAAAAATCCGAATTTTCACCCGAAAATAGTAGAAAACATCGCCAACTACATTCCAGAATCAGTACTTTCAGTTATGAAAAACCTCTCTTAAATCTAACACAGTTAACAAAGAGTTACTAGAATATAATTCTTCTTTTATAAAAAACTAAGAGTCTAAATTGTGAAAGAAAAAAACCAACACGCGTATAAACACATGAAAAAGACTTCCACGCGTCCAAAGATTATTTTTTTGTTTCAGAAGAAACAAGAAAGCCGTGACACATCGATCATAATCATTTGATCTTTTTGCTCCCTGAAACCATATTTTCATCCTCGATCAATTCTTGCGATCTTCTCAACATAATCAAATCATAAAATAATGTAAGCTACGATAATAAAAACAACCAAGTGTGTTGCGCTCAACGATATTTGTTATTGAAGTCCCAAATCGGGCCACCCCGTGGATGTTGTTCCCACATATGCCCATGCTTCAGAGCCAACGATGCCTGAGCGTGAGGGGGGGTGTTAATGAGAGAAAGTCCCACATCGGAAGTTGGAGAAATTATCAAGTGATATATAAAGGGTTAGGGTCAATCCACTCATTGCCAATTGGTTTTGAGTTGGAAGCCCATGTTAAAGCCCAAATCTATCAATATTGATGAACATAATCAAATCATAAAATAATGTAAGCTACGATAATGCAAGCTACAATATGTTGATAAATCTAATCCCTCAAACCATATTTTCATCCTCGATCAATTCTTGCGATCTTCTCAACATAATCAAATCATAAAATAATGCAAGCTCCGATAATAAAAACAACTAAGTGTGTTGCGCTCAAAACAACGTCAGTGCTTCGAACTAATTACAAATTGCTTAAATATCCTATTCATCAAAAGTTGAAAACCATAATGTAGATTAAAAAAAACCTTAAACTCCAAACCTAACGAGAGTTAATGTTTCATCATCTAATCACGACCCTGATAGGTCTCGTCGCCATGTAAATGCTCTCAATCGTCCTATACTTCTTCTTCTTCGTCTTCGATGACATTACTCTCAACACCACCATTTCTTTCGTGCATTGATGATCTTGATCATGAATATCATCTTTACCAAATATTTCCTCGATCGTCTTCTTCTTCTTGATGATATTGATATTATTATTCTCTTCGTCGCTTAGTTGCATCAACTGTTGTGCTGCCTCCATCTCCATCTCCGTTATCATCTCTTCTCTTCTCCTCCGTTTATTACTCATCTCGTTCTTTTTGATTGGATCTTCTCCATTATGAAACTTGAAATTCTCTCTGGTGTTTGATTTGATTTATTTATTTTTGTGTTTTTAGTTGGTAGTAAATTTCTTCGAGGATTACGTAATGTTGAGAAGGGTTTTTGAAGGGCATGAGAAACTTCGACGTTGGTGCTGCGAAATCTCTCTCTATCCCTCATCTTTTTTAACTATGTTTTTGCAAACTCGTCCCTATATTCTTACAAGTTTAATAAATCATTTTCTTTATTTATGAAGTTACATTTTCAACCATTACATAGCTGCTTCTAATTCAGCTTATAAATTTCACTATGGATTTTCGTATTATAAGTAAAAGAAATTTTATATGTACATACCAGTTATCTCCCAACAAATCTGTCACTAATAACTAATTAATGAATTATTGTTATTTTATTTTGGGTTCCACATTGATATCCAAACTAATCTTCTTCTTCTTCTTTTTTTTGATAAAGTCAAAATTAATCTTTCATATTCTTTTTTTATATATATTTTATAATTTTAACAGTGGTCAATTATGATTGAAATCATAGTAAACAAATTCTGAATATTTGGTCCACTAATCATAGATTGAATATGTCAACTAATAACAAACTCATTTCCATGAGAAGAGTCAAACATCTGAATTAGCCAAGTGTGTCAATCTTAGTTTAATGAGGGTTAGAATGTAAAATTGATAAACTTTCTGGCATGACTATAATTTAGACAATGTGTGGGGGTAAAATCTTAAACAGCAAGATATGCAAAGGTTATCAGGTACACTCTGTTGTATTGGTTATTAAAGACCAACGCAGATCTAAACCGTCGGATATGTTGAGAAAATATAGGCTACTTTGACTCTTTCGAGCTGAATCCTACGATTACAAAAACACGGATGATTCCTTAACTAAATTAAGGAAAATGAAACTTATACGAAAATCCAATTCACTGGGCCCCACCTATTTTGCCTTATTATTTCCCATTGGTCACAAAACGCGTATCTTAGCCTTATTATGCTTCTCTTATGGCTGACTTGCTTTTTCACTAATTTTAAAAGACTATATTACAGTTATTTAACTAATTAAAAATAGCTATAAAATTAAAGCAATCTGAGTGATTCTACCCATGTTATCTGACTTGAATTTACGAAATATGAAGTGAGAAACAAAATAAAATGTATGGGGCCTTTGGTTTGGTTCCAAAAGTTTCCAGTCAACCAGTCGTCTTGACTTTTGACTGATTCGTGCTCCCAAGTCTTTCCCAAGAGAGAAGAATAAATTAATAGAGAAGAAGAAGGCCTAAGAGAATTCAGAATTAAGACAAGAAGATCCACATAGATTGCATCTCTCCTTATCTTCAGACAAGAAGAAGCCATCACAAACATCTTCTTCTTAACAATTTTACATGAAAGTAACCTTCTTCTTCTTTTTTTTTCCCAAGAATTTGCAGAAGATTTCTCAAAATATTTCAATGAAAGAATTAATAAGATAACACCTCTCTCTTTTCTGTTTCACATTCACCAAAAAAAATAACAAGAATAAATAGACGACGCCACCTTCTTCTATATCTACATTACAACACCTTCCAAAAGAATAACATTATATATCTAAATCCTTCTTCTTTTTGTGTTCAATCTAACAAGGATCTTTTGTTCCCAACAATAATTAACACAGTAAACAAACAAATGTGTGACTCTTTCCTCTTTACTTACCTCTGTGGAAAATTTGTTATGTATCATCATCATATCAACTCGAGATCAATCAAAGGCAGTCCAAACCACATATCTCGAGGATAGGACCGCCTTTCGCCACAAACGGATTGACTCTGACCCAAAGAAGCGTAAGGATAGAGGCGAGAAGGATCGACCAGACAAGAATGATTGTAGGCATTCTGTCCTGTTTCCCAAGCAGACCTTTAAGGAAAGGATAAAGATGGAGGATGACCCAAAAGGCAAAGAACAATCTTCCGAAAAGCGGTCCCCAAGAGTCGTATCCGTTACTGATCGCATCAGAGATTCCCACAATGACTCCGATTACGTTTATGATTAGGAGTGTGGTTGGAGGGATCAAGAGTGATGTCCATTTGAAGATGTACAGCTCAGAGAATTCACCGTCATCAGCTGCTTTAGATGTAACTGTGAAGTTTGTGTCGACACCGGCTAAAACCTTGAGGAGACCTTGGAAGAGAGCAAAGAGATGAGCTGAAACACCTCCAATCACCCAAAACTGTTCGTTTCTCCACCAATCATCAATACCTACTTTACCCCATTGCATCTCGAGAATTCCCGTTACAGCAATCGACCCGAAAAGTGCCATGAAGAGGATACTTGCATAGTTGCTAATCTGCAAACAAAAAAAGAGCAAAGGAACAATTAACATAAAATAAAGATTGATACTTAAGAGAACACAAAGATGATATTTTACCCCAGGAAAAATGAATCTAGACAAAACATGGAATAAAGATTCATACTTTAGAGAACTCAAAGATTGGGTTTTGTTTTACCTCAGGGACGATGAATTTTCCAGTGAGAAGACAGATAGCAGGGAGAGAACAGTAAACGAGGAGTGGAATAGAGGTCCATGGATAAACCACAGAGTTGATGTAAGACAATCTCTCGAGCCATTTCAATCCACCTCCGTAACCATACCAAATAGGACAATGTCTGCTCAAGAAAATCTCAACAGACCCGAGCGCCCACCGAAGAACTTGATGAAGACGGTCAGAAAGATTGATAGGTGCTGATCCTTTAAAAGCCGGTATCTTGGGTGTACAGTAAACCGATCTCCAGCCATGAGAATGCATCTTGAAACCCGTAAGGATATCCTCAGTGACAGAACCGTAGATCCACCCAATCTTGAATAAATTTCACAAACACCATGAAAGAAATCAAAAACCATATTGCAAAATGAAAGATAAAGTGCTAAAAAGGTGTTTCATAGAGCTCTACATTACCTCTTTTCCCCATTCGGTTTTATCTTCATATCCACAACTAATGACTTGGATGGCTTCTCTAAGCAGAGAAGCTGGACTCGCATTCCTAGCAAGCCCACCATTCTCCATACCAGCAGACGCAACAAAAACAGGAGACTGTCCAAACTTCTTCTCCAACTTCAGTTGTGCAGCCTCTGGTGATTTCACCTCATTATTAGTGCCTTAGAAAAAGAAAGAAAGAAAAAAGTGTTCAGCAATGAACTGAAACTAAATGTTGAAACCAAATGATACAGAGGATTTCTTCTGTTTACCTTTGGTGCCCTCTTCGATATTTTCTAGCGCATGTATCTGCTTTGAGGCTTCCCTGTTCTTCTTTTTCTTATCCGTTGTCTTTGTCTTACGATTCTTTCTTAGACCACAACAAAACAAACACCATTTAGGCCAGCAATTGCAAGTCATACGCTTAGTCTTCTTCTTTTTTGGCGCATCAAATCCATAAAGTGCTTGTCTCCTAAAAACACACCCGGTTCCAACATATATAGGCCCTTGTAATCCATCCAAACCTTTCATATTAATCTGTTTCAACAATTACAAGATCAAAAGTTTGGTAAGTAAGAGCGGATGAATAACTCAAGAAAAGGATGCAGTGATAGAGAATGGTGTACTTACATCGAAGAATACAACATTACGATTAGAGTATCTGTCACTTTTATCAATCCCATCGAATCTTTGAGGGAATTGAACATAACAAATTTTCTTTCCCGACTGAGGATCCATCATGAAACACATTGCTTCTCTAAGAGCTTTGCTATTATTGATGTAGTGATCACAATCAACATTTAGAAGATAAGGAGCATTTGATAGAACTCCAGAGACTCGTATCTTCAATTAAATACGGCAACATAAAAAGAAAGAGTCAGGAAGTTAGCGAGAGAATCATAAATCCATTCAAAGAATACATTCAAGAATTGAGCATAATTATTTACCAGGGAGTTCATGGCTCCAGCCTTCTTGTGATGGTCGAATCCGGGTCTCTTCTCACGAGAAACATAAACCAGCCGAGGCAACTCGTTGTTTTCTACATCGCGGACACCGTTATTTCCAAGGAAGACCTTTTACAGGAAATAGCAAGAAAATATACAGGTAAGTTTGGAAGTATACACACAGCACATAGAACAAAAAGATACAGTTAACGCGTCAGAGCATCTCACCTGGATCATGCCAGGATGATCTCGCACGTTATTACCAGGCCAAGGAGTACCGTCTTGCATAGTCCAACCTTCTTCAGGCACTTTCTGTGCAGTCGCAACTAAAGCATTGATCTTAACCTTGAATTCTTCATAATCTCTCTGCATCCAGGAAAAAAAAGGCAATTATTTTCAATGAGCACAAAATTTTCTTAGCAAATTATCGTATGAAGGAGCAAGAATGAACAAACCTTCATAGCTCGGCGTTCCCTAACAAATGCAGGGTGAACTTTATTCTTTAAATAATCCATCTTGTGGCAAAAATACCATTCGGGAGCTCGTGGCTCGATACTGTATTTTTTACAGAAAGGAACCCATTTTCTTGCAAATTCTGCTGTTTCTGAAAGGGCTTCAAAAGTGAGCATAGCAGCACCATCATCAGACACATAACAAGCAACCCTGTCTACCGGATAATCAACCGCAAGAATAGACAGAACAGTGTTTGCTGTAATAAGTGGAGGCTCTTTCAAGGGGTCCACTGTACTCACAAAAACATCCACACCGGCTAGTTCAGATGGTTTCCCTTCTTTCTCGTACCTCAATGACAGCCGGTCCAAGCATGTTTCTCTTTCTATAGGATACCATTTAGGGAACTGATCAAGAACCCATGAAACCGCAAACCATATTTCGCATATGACGGATATTAGCCACAAGGCGTAAGCATCATTGACGGGGTGAAGAATACGGTAATGGAAAAAGAGACCGAGAATCACAAGACGGAGAATGATTAGCATTCTGTACGGATTTATTTTGCTCGACTTTATTGGTACTTTCCTAGACAGAGGCTGCCTTCCCTCATCCATCCTAATACAAAAACAAAAAAAACTCGTAAATATCAGAGCAAAGCTGTGAAACATGACAAAAGACAGTATTTTTCTGAAAGATTTGTCTATCATACATGGGAATTTCAGCATCATCTCCATCGCCAAGACTAGAATCTCCATCGTGTTTAACCACCTGATATTTTTCATTCTGCTTTCTCTTCCACTCTTCCATACGATCCTTCCACGCAACACTTCCATATCCATAAACCGCAAGGTCTTTCTGAGGTACCATTGGTCTTGGATGTGCTGTGACATAGCAAACCAATAGCTTAGTAACCACAAACAACAATAACAGGAAATCAAACACGTCTCCCCAAATCAGAAAACAAAACTTACCGGCGGGGTCAGCAAAATGAGGTTGATGAACCCTATGGATATGACCAGGTGATGGAGAAACAATGAGAGCATGACTATCAGAAGAAATCTCAACGTCCTACAAAAAGCAACCAAATGAGCCAAGAAAGGGAAATAAAGAGGCAGAACAACTATGGAAAATATGAACCAACCTCCTCTCCATAAGTCAGTAAAGGGATCTGTGAGCCAGGTGGAGCAGAGGCCAAATCAAACTCCGAGTTGCGGCGAGAGAAAGTTTCAGATTCAAGGCCACTCCTACTAAAATCAAACTCAAAATCAAGATCATCAATTCCATCATCCTCCTCATCTCCTTCAACCCTTGGACTTCCTGAAACCAATTAGAAACCTTTGTCAGAGACATAAACACACCTTTCAAATATACATCCATAAGTAATGAAACAGTTAAAGTGTCACCTTTGATACGCTTGTAACGAGTTTTGCACTGAGGACAAGATTGGTTTCCTTCTCGTCTCTCATACTCATAGCAAGGTCTACAGACAGGGAAAGCACATTCATTACATGCCACAAAAGACTCTCCATCAACACTCAGCTCTATCTCATCCCCACAGATTTGACATGTTTGCCCACTTAGTTCTTCCACTGATCTTATCTGTATTGAATCAGCATAAGCAGAGAATCATGAGAAACAAACATAGATTGGATCTCTCAATTAGAACACGAGATTCACTAGCAACATAACTCAAAATTTTGTTCTTTTTAAGCACAATGATTAGATTTGGGGATTTTACACACTAGAACTCAGAATTCAATCCCCACCGACACAAACTTTCACTGTACATGTTGATAAAAGTAGGTAAGAATATTGGAATCGTGTACCCTAATTGATAATTTAACGAGTAAATGTAAAACCCAGATCCAGAAGAAGAAAAAAGGCAAAACCTTTATACAGAACAACGAAATTGAAACAATGTGTGCAAATCAAAACCAGAGAGAAAGAAGTGAAAAAAGCTTCACTTTTGATAAATTCTTACTCTGGCACTCTCGTCTGCATTAATTAAGACGAACTCATTCCTGTTGTGAGAACCAGCGATGAGCCGACCACCAGTATTCATATTGCCGACAAAACAGTACACAGAATAGCAAATTCAGACACACACGCAATCTCTAGAGAGGTAACTTCGGAGGTCTGCAAACCGGGTCAAGTCAACCCAACTCGGGTCCAGAGAGATCCAGTCGTTCCAACTCCCATCAAAACATGTAATAACAAGCTTTGGAGACGAATCTCAGAAGATTTCTTAGTTTTTTATAAAGAAGCAATGAAGAAGATGGGTGAAAGGTAGGTAATTTGAGTGAATCCAAACTGTTTTCTGATTCTCCTCCAAATGTATGCACACACACAAGTTGACAATAAATATAAAAGAAAGAGAAATCGAGAGATAGTGAAAGGTGAGCTGCAGCTAATTAAAGAGAGAGGGGCAAAATGTAGAAGAAGAAGAAGGAGACGCGTAATGAAGAAGACGAAGAGAGAGAGACACAGAGACGGAAGATATTGAAGTACCTCCTCAAGTAATCAACTACCAAACCAAAGTTAGAGAAAACCACAGAAACTACGGACCAAAAAAAAAAAGATAATAAATGAATTAAAAGAGTGGGACCCCGTAAAAGTGTGTCGCTTGGCGCTCTCTGTCCTCCACTCCAATTTTGTAATTGGTAATTTCGTAAAATGCTTTATAAAACAAAATAAAATTTACAGAGTACGTATAAAGTAGAAACGGAAATTTTAAAATATATAAATTGACTTTAAATTGAGGTAAGAAAAATTTAATGAATAATTTTGACTCACTGAGTCTTTTTATCGGAAAAGGACGAAAGTTTTATATAAATTTGGTAAACATTGGATCACCCTTTTCATTTATTATTTACATGTATTTTGTTCTTCTGTCTTCCTCTTTTTTTTAGTTTTTTTTTTATATTTGTTCTTCTGTCTCATGACTATACTAATCACAATAAAATAGATTCACAAAATAAAAGCTATACTTATATTGCTTAGAGGATGTTGACCACATTTGTTTTAACTTTTAACTTTTAAGTGTGCTTTATTAATGTACTTTATATATTTACCTGAAATATAATATTAGAAATGTTCAGGGAATATCATTCCTTTGCCTTGATACAGACTTAAATTTTCTAATTCTATTCACTAACTCTTGTGTAGATATAATTAAATTTGGCTCCACCCACCATTATTTTTCCCATTTGTCTTTTCTCCTGTTTTGCATATAAAATTTAATGTACTGTTGACCACATAATATTATGTACAATTGGAAAACAATGTGCAAATTATTGAGACTATCATATCACATCATATTTATATGCCATACATCCATATGTATACATTTGCCGACAATATATATATATCCTTATACAGTTATATGTATTATAAGTTAAGTCAAGAAAAAACACATACGTATTTTTAGACAATAATAGCCTAACACTAAAATATCATGTTTTTAACCTGCTAGTAATAAAGTTTTTTTTTCCAGTAAAGTACTAATAAAGCTGTGAGTTCATCTTTTCATACATAAAAACATATACAATTTTAGTGTTAAGCTAATATTAGTCTAAAGACGTATGTTTATAAAAATAAATATCTATGATTAGAATGCATTGTAGGTACTGTTTGTTTCCAAATCCTTGGGCCACATGCTCTTATAGAAAATTAGAAAAGTGTCGGTGCCACATGTTTATTTTAGTTTCTTCCGGGAATATGATGAAAAAAGTAGCATGTTGTTGTTTCGGCAAAAACCTTTTGTATTACAATAATTAAATGACTTTGTTAATAAATCATGTTTAAAAACAAAAAATTAGATAATAATTTACCATTGTTAGTTTGTTTGTTTTTTAACATTAAGTATATTCGGATATATGTTTAAATCGATCTACGATTTTGTATTGAAACGATAAGTAACAAATAGGCAACTTTTCATTTGTCGTTGACAACACAAATCACTCTGTTGTCTCTTGGTCGATTCTTTATCGCATCGGTGTGCCAACACTGTTAGTCTTTTTTTGTTTCAATGTGAGTCGACACTTTTTTTTGTCATAAGAGTGCAACGACTATTAGACAACTGTGATCTTATGTGACAGTGCATAAACAACTTAATAGTGTTTGGGGTAAATTTATAAGGTGATTTGATTTGCATTGACAAACGACTAAACAAAGTATATACATTTTCAATGATTGGCGGTAGTAATAATATAATCAAATCAGTTTAAAATCGATTCACCAACGTGAACTGATATATTTTCACGTATTATTGGCATGATGAAACCTTATTATATGGAGATCGGTGGTGTTTATGGACTTAAAATCGTGACATGACTTAAAACCACTCATCTATATTCTAAAAATATTGATGGCAAAACATAAAGTTTGTGTTGATAGCTAATAGTGACATATCTAGCTATAGATTCCTATAGTAATTGATTTTTTGTTTGTTTGTTAAAGTGTAATTATTAGTGGATTGCGACTGAATCCAATGTTTATTAGCTATGAATATGTATCTAATGTTACACTTAGACGATAAATTACCTAAAAGAACTTAATTGTATGATGATTTTATTGAGTATATAGAAATGGAAAACAATGTTTTAAGCTTCAAGATTTGCACTCATACACACATATTTAGAACAATACTTTAACATAATTTGTTAAACATCAATACATTTTAACTTCATATCCAAAGGATTCACCGTTCCATGAAGGTCGAGACTCATGAGACAGGCGTAGGGGGGTGATCAAGATCAGTGTCCATCAAACCAGCTTCTTCTGTCTCTGCGTCTTCAATTTGACCGGCCTCTTGACCGTTTTCTGTGTCAGAACCACCGAGTCTTTGTTGTTCCTCAGGCGTAGGAGTGTCTGCAATAGCATCACTCTCCATCGTCTCTGCATCACCCCTTCCTCCTTCAGCCTCAGCTTCACTATTTGAAACACCAATCTGGTTTCCCTCTGTTTCCTGAGATCCACCTTTGGCTTCTTCTTTCTTAGCTCGTTTGGCTTTTTCGTTCGGTTTAGCTTGGTATTTGGACCGGACCTCAGGCGGCAATAGTTCAACTGGGACAACTCCTTCGATTCCCATTTCGGTAAACTGTAAAAAAAGATAGAAAAATGATTTTAAAAGCAATCATATGAGGCATTGAGAAATCGAAATCGAAATCGAAGAACATTTTACCCTAGAAAATCCTTCAAGGTCTTGCCGAGCTGTAAACCGAAGACCTTTCCAGCAGTAAACCTATCAAAACAGTAACAATAATCTGCCTTGAGACTGATTCAATAAAGCATCATAAAAGTAAAGTTGTAAATCAGAGGAAAGTTATATACTCTGTTGTTTTTGTGATGATACTCATCTTCTATGCCAGCTGATGGATCCATCTGAGATTTTAACAAAACCAGCTGTACTAATTAGATATCAACCATTTTTTTGAAAATGTCGTTTGTGAATAATAAAGAAAACAATATGTTAGCTCACATCTTCTGCTAATGGTTTCCAGTAGTCTGCAATGTCAGGGGTTCGGACACGTTGAGAATCAGTCAAAGCATTCTGTTATGCCATCAGAGATACAAATATTTTAGAGACATAATTTGAAGATCGATCTGAGAGGAGAGACTGGAGTAGCATGTGGCATAATATGAACAATGAACAAAGATGCAAGAAAAATAATGCATACCGGATTTTGATCAGCCCACCTCCAAAGTTGGGAGAGTTCTTTATTGCCCAATCTCCATCTTTGTCTCCTGTAAAAGCATAACCCATATGGAGCTTAATACTCGTAATGTAGATTTATTAGTTGTTTCTCACTCTAATGGACTAGTGACCAGAGATCACTAGGGACAAAACGTCTTATCAGTTTCTTGCATGTAACATATTCTAAAATTCTAATGGCTGACACCACCTAGTTAGGCGATTACATGAGAATGAAACAGTTAGATTACAAGGTCAGCTTTTCCCCATACCGTTTCTTTTGCCCTGCATTAGGTGATTTCTTATCTATCGGTTGCTTTTCAAATGGTGGGCATCCATCACGTTTCCACCAGACCTGTTATTTGTGTATGTAGAAGCTCATTAACGACCCTCGACTACAAGCCAGAAAAATCATCCAGCAGGTAAGAGAGAAAGCAGCACACATACCCAATTCTTTTCGCGCTCCAGTATATGCTCAACTGCACGGAGGAATTCTTTCCCTTTAGGCGGAGTGATCTCAAGCAATTTCTTTACACGATCCTCACATGACTTAAGTTCTTCCTTCTAGACCGAAAAAGATAAACAATACCTTTGAGTGATTATGCATAAAACCCCGAATACTGAGATATAAACTAGGTTTGTGAACCTTTGAAAGAAAGCAAGAGGACATTTTCTCCTTAAACAAGAAAAAACACTGACCATGGTTTCAGATGGCAGATCTTTGTCGTTCTTCCCTGGTGCCTAAAAGGAAACAGGAGTCAGTTATACCAGAATACCAGAGAGAGTAATTTCCGTGCAAGAATTCTTGAGAGACATTTACCCTCAGATAATCAAACATAATGAGGCACTGGAGAAGAATATGTCGTCGGAAACTCGAATCCTTTAACTGTGACGAAAGGTAGGAAAAAAAGTGAGTGAAATGCTAAGTTCAGAAGTTTTGTGTGTGTGCGTGCGCAACCACAGCATACTTACCTCTAAACCCATCAATTTACTACTTGTTAGGTACTTTATATTAAAAGTTGCTGCCTCTTCCTCCAAACTATTAGCCTCTCCCTCTTCTTCGCTTAGTGGTTGAGCATCAAAGGTGTTTAAAACAACCTACATAGGCAGTTCAAGAAACGAAGTCTGAGATGATTTCACACTACCGTCAGCATGATTTTTCTATGCATATACATATATATAAGACAAGGTAATGCATTTTAGCCAAAAACCATAGATCACATACCGCCAAACTGGATGAAAATTTCTGCCACTTGGTAGATGCGGAAGTAAGAGAAGCGGGATTACAGAAATACTCCTGGAAACGAAACAAATTTCTCAGTAAGAAAAGAACTATCTCAATATACTAACTAACAAAAGGAAAACTGAGATGCTATCTCCAGTAATGCAGATTTTGCATGATATGCAAACAGAGGTTCTATGAGACAATCCTTATGATAGAGGCATAACAGTCGTTCCCAACAAAGTTCCTTTAACTAATACGCACCTGTAAACTCCAAAATGTCTTATAGAAGTTGAAATCTACAGAAATGCCTGAGAAGCAATGACATAGACAGAATAAGTAACACGTTTTAGAATTGTCCTATGGATATAAAGACCAAAAGCATAAGAAAAAAAAATTACTTGCCTTTTGGAGGATCTTTTTCATATTTGGTTTCATTAGATGTATTAAAAACGCCTTTTATATTCACGGCTGCAAGAAAAAGTCACGCAAGTAAACGTTACACAACTTATAGACATTCACGTACCAAAGAGTTGTATATGCAAACTTACGAGAAACCCTTCTTACCTGAGCGCTCAGATAAGGGAAAAAAGTGAGCCAAAAACATGAGAATCCTTCCACAGAATACAACATCATTGGCCTGTATGCCAGATTATGAAAGCAAAAAAAGGGAATTAAAAAGAGTGGATGTGTTATAACTGAGAAAAAGTAGATTATGACTTGTGGATATTCGACAAAGGGAACTAGAACAGGTGCAGATAACAAACCTTTGAGAGTCGCCGGAGAAGTTGGTTGCAAGTCCTCAACATTACAAGTTTTCCGCGTGCAAAAAGCTCTTGCTGCAAATAATTGCAACATCCAAGTCAAAATACAAGAAACTCATACAACTAACACAGGAAACATCTTTTGATTTCATCTAAGAAATACCTTGCCCAATATATCTTGTTTGCTTTCAATATAACCAAAAACATCTTTACAGTTTTTCATAGTAGACATTTCCGTCAAATCCTCCAGCAGCTGGAATATCATGCCACCTTCTACATGCTCTTTCTCACAAAGATAAAGCACAACATCTAACAAACCAATTAAAACAAAACTAACGTACTCAGCAACCATCAAGCATGAGACAATAAGCAATAGACTACAAGAGAATGAGATGTTTTACGGGCACAACACTTGCACCTACTGAAACGAACTATGCAAATCAGACAGATTGGTTTGAAATAAAGTGCTAACCTAGAAGATGAGGAATCTGGCCATGAATATTTTCATCATCATCATCATCAATCAACTGACCATATTGCATAATTTGCTCTCCTGATTGCGCAGCAGCAGCCTGAAACCCCCAAAACCAAAGACAAATCCACACATATATAAATCAAAATGACTAAATCAACAAGCATATGCATACCACGAAAATATATAGAGGAGAAACAACAGACCACAAGCTCCTGCAACAATGTCCGGAGCATGTTTTCAAGCATTTGGTTTTCATCTTGAGCCAACTTTGTTTGTTTCTGTCAAATTATATGACAAATACAACAAGTAAGACTTAAAGTAACACATACACTGAAGTGTGAAGACATTGTTAGTTGAATCCAAGAGTTACCTGAGGTTGTATAAACTGTTGAACAGTCTTGAGTGCAAAGGTTTCAATAGGAGCTCGTTGCAATATAGCATCTCTAAATGTATCCTGAGAAGAACCACAAATTTGCAGAAAACAATTTTTTAAAGATAGATATAACAAGAACCAAAAGAAAACAAGTAAGCCTTCACTTATCATAATCTCAAAATTCAAAAGGATCGTAGAGTATACCATTATTCTACATGAACCAGCTTCCACTGCGAGTTGAGAAAAAAGGAAACCTCTTGAGCCAAACCAAAAAAACTGGTAAATTGTGGCTGACCGGAGAAAAGGACCAATGAAGAGGAATTTACCGACGACACCAAACACCGGATATTGGCCGGCCAAAAATCTGGAAACAAAATCGGAGAGAGGAGGAAGAACAATTTAATTTAGGGTGGAACGGATCCGGATACCCGAAAAGTTTGGACTATCTGGATCCGGATCCGGCGGATATCCTCCCAACAATCAAACTATCCGCAGATATCCGGGCTTGGATCTTCATATTGGGCCTTTAATATTAAATACCCACTAAAATGATATCCGTTGGGTGGGCTTCACATTATTTTTAGTCTTAAAGAAGAGACCTTTGCCTGTATGTATTTGGATTAATAGCTTATGTTTATCCTCGTTGTTATTCAAGTTGAATACTGTATTCAAGTTGCTCGAAATTGTTCCTGATATGTTATTGCAGAGGATTTCATAACAACTCACATTAGCTTACCAATATTGTCTAATATCTACAGACTAAAGAACAAGCACATAACATTCTCATCAATTTTAAAACGTGACATGTCATGAGAAGGATTTGAAAAGCTGAAGAAAGCTTGACAAAGAAGAAGCCTCAAAATGCAGTTCTCATTTCTTAATCCTATGCAACAAGAGTCTCTTGTTTATACTAGAAACACTTGGCCTAATCTTAATCTTGACAGGATTATTATATATCTTTTGGTAAAGAGTCTTTGACTTATCTTGAGTACAACTACAAGAGCCTCTTATTTTTTGGCAAGATTCTTTGACTTATCTTTGAGTACTGTTGACAGGATTGTTATATATTCTAATATGTTGACAGGATTAGTCAAAATAAACTGTCCTGCAAATCGAAAACCTCAAAACAAACTTGCCAAGTATATATACAAGATAAATCAAGTAAAACAATATGAACAATCAATCAAATAACTATTGCCTGGACAAAGGTGTGAAGTCGATCTTGGCCCGAGCAGAACCATCCTTGGAAGAATTACTACATCCACCAGCACTTGCTCCCATAGTTCCTCTAGACCCCAACAGTTTCTTACTTTTCTTCACATTACACGCCCATTGTGCAAGACCAAAAGGATCTTCCTCAGCATCCTTTTCAAACTCAAGAGGTCGTTCTCTCTTACCCGCACCCGTGAAAGCTTTGTCTGGTTTAAACCTCTCAGTGTTCTTGAGCTTATGGAGCTGCTCCTGATGATACATTTCATCATCCATATCCTTCTTTGGCTTGTACAGCGTCGAGAGAGTGGGCTGCACATTGAACAATCCTTTGTCATATACATTGTATTGGTCATCAGTGGCAAAACCTGAGCCCATGCCCTTCTCCTGGTTAAACAGTCGTTGATCATACATGACTTCACCACCTCTGCCTCCAACAGATGCCATTCCAAGTGCAAGCTTCTCACTGATATCACGCTCTCTGTCCCTTGTGATCTTACTCTTCTTACCCGCTGCTTCCAACCTTTTCTCCCTCTCTCTTTCCTTACGACGCTCTTCTCGAATCTTATCCCTCCTCTCACGGTCATTGTCACAATCGCCTACTGGTACAACACTCTGGTTTGGTATACTTGTAACCAGAGTCCTCTCGCGCCGAGCCTTTTGGGCAAGATCCCTCAGCTCCTTCTCTTTTCTTTCCTTCTCCTTCATAACCATCTCCTTCTGCACCTTTGACCGCACTGAAATAGCCTCCCTAGCTTTCTGCTCAGCTACATAGAGGGCCTCTGACAACTTGGCAAAGTCATCATTGACCTGAGCATCTTCCAGGCGTCTTCCGTCAGCGGCAAGGCGTTTGTCAAGAGGGATTGTATAACCTTTCTGGTTTTTCCAATTGGAGATACAAGGAGGGATGTTCCAGTCTTGTCGGTCCTTGACAGTAACAGGCCTTGGCGGTGAATGCAAGACTGGAACAGGCGGAGAACCAGAAGCTCTTGGAACTCTCTTGTGCTTAAACTTTGGTGGATCAAGTGGATCTACAGGCATCTCCACCATCCTTACCATCCTCTCTTTAGCACCGGAATTGAAAGCTGCAGATTGCTGTGATGGCGTATACTTGATGTACGTTGAGTCACTCTGCTTGGGTACATTCTTAGGCTGTGATATTCTCAGTCTCGCATTCACAATCTTCTCAATGGCAGCTTTTGTTTCTTGAGCAGTCTCATGTATCTGCTTCTCCAGTATCTCATCCTCGACCAAGTCTCCATCGTTTTTGAGAATCTTGGGAATAACATCGTAATGTTGAGAGTAAACAATCTTTTTAGAATTCTCACTCTGCCTCACAACCGCGTCAAAGACCAAGTTCCCCTGAGAATCCACGGTATCAGGCAGAGTCCTGTTGTTGTAACTAGTCCTACCCATGCCAAGAGGGTACTGAGGAACATGAATCTCAGGGAACGCACCACCATCTCCATTATCCTCGGGACGAGAACCTTGACGCTTCAAGTAAGCAGGTACTGGTTTTACGATGAGACTAGAGGAATGTTTCGCCTCAGATTCCATGAAACGATACTTGAACCACGGATCTTTTGAATGATCATAAAACGTCGATGTAGCGGTTGATTTTGCCGGAGGAGGTAAAAGGACTTTAAGACACGTCATAGTGCCAAGGATGTTCCTAAGAATCAATAATAAAACGGAAACAACGAGACAGAAACCTTACAAAGGAAAGAAGCAAACTCTGCGTTTTCTAAACCAAAAAAAGCAGAGGACTTCACAAAACTACTTATTACTCCTCTAGTTAAGAAGAAGCATTCGTTAATTCAAAGAGAGATAGCTAATGTCTTTATTTATAATAGAGACCCTATTTGCTATTTCCATTTTCTTTGTAGTTTCCATTTCCTATTATTTCAATAGAGACCTAAAAAATAGAAAACAAATGAAAATTATTGCGACGGTTAAAACAAAAAGGAAATTAGTAAATAGACGTTAGAGTATATATCGATTAATGTAAATATTCCTTAATCTAGGAATATTCATTGTAGTTTCCTTTTTTCCTTTGTAGTTTTTTCCTTCCCTTTCTCTGGTCGATGTTATTTCTGTTTTACTAAGTCTCCTTGAATTCATTCTCTTGAAAGACAACACAGCAATTTGATAATCGTTAATACAGAGAGAAGAATCGGATGCTAATCATGCTTAATTAAGCTTGATAGTCCAAACCAAGTCCTATTTTAGAGTTTAGAGTGAACAAAAAAAAATTGAGACACTTGATGAAAACATCCATCATTTTTATTAAACAAGGGACACAAGCTTACAAGTTACAATTGTCACAACTTCAAAAGCTAACATCAATCCGCGATTAAACAACAAGTGACAAATAAACACTACTTCCTAACAAATTAAACTTTGTCGGATCGATTACCTCCTTCAACATAAAATTATAGATTTGATATCTGGGTCCAACCCCCTTCATGAGATGAATCACTTGGAGACCAAAATGAAAATATTGATTTGATATATGGGTCCACTTACTATATGCCCAAAATTTAGAGGCCCATTAAGCAAAAATGTCGAAACATGTAAATGTTACTCTCCAATTAAAGAAAAACCAAAAAAAGTAAACGCCATTATTGAAAGAAAAACACTCACCTCTCTCTCTCTAGAGCTGTTCATCTCCCCAACCACAACAAACCAACTTGCTTAGCTTTGCTCTGTCCACGGCATGAGCATCCCTCAATAAAGCAATTCCCATTTTCTTCTTTTACTTTTGTCCTAAAACTCGTTTTACTTGTAATTGATTCTGTCTAAATATTATTATTAACGGACCAAAAAAAAAAACTTGCAGAAGAATGAAAGAAAAAGCAATAACCCCCCAAACCAAATTCTAAAGCCTCAAATTTGGAATATTCCCTTTCTTCTTCCTTCTTTTTTCTTTTGCCATTTCCTTATTGATCTTATGTGAGAGAGAGACCTCCTCTGTTTCTGTTTTCTTCTCTCTTCCTCGTAACAGTAAAGGGTCTTCCTTTTAATCTGATTTTACCAATCTGATTCTTCTGTTTTTGTTTTTTTATTTTCTATCTTTAAACTATTTGAATCTAAACTTTGTTTGGTTCTTCACGATTTTAATCCCCGATGAATCAAATTCATCAAAAGATTCATCTTTTAGATCTGGTTACGTAATTCGATTTGCTCTGTTTTTTGTTTTGAATTCTTTATAAAGTAACCAAATTTGGGGAAGAGGGTGATAATGGATTTGGACGATTTCCGATCGGTTATGGATAACGCTGGTGTTGATGTTTGGACATTTATCGATACGGCGATTCTCGTTGCGTCGCTTGACTATGGTCAAGAGCTTAAGCGGCGGAGAGATAACATCGTCGAGCGTCTCTACGCTACGTCCATGGCTAACAAGTGTAGAAACTGCGATTTTGGCGGTGGTGGTAGCGTTACGGAGGCGGCGGTTGGTAGGGTTAATGGGAGGGTTCACGAGGAGACGGAGGAGGAAGATGAAGAAGCTGCAGCAGCAGCAGCAGAAGAAGTAAGAGAGAAATCTGTTAATGTTGAAGACGATGACGATTTCGATCCCTTTGCTGGTTTGTTTGATGATGAGCAGAAGAGTATTCTTGAAATCAAGGAGAAACTTGAAGATCCTGATCTGGTTTGCTAAAAGTTTTTCCACTTGGATCTTGATTTTCTGTTTCCGGTTTTTGAAGACAGGATTGTTTTGTTTGTGGTTTCAGTCTGAAGAAGCTTTGGTTGAGTTGCTTCAGAATCTGGAAGATATGGACATAACATTCCAAGCTCTTCAGGTAGTGTAACTTGATTCTGATTCAATGAGGACACTCTTCATTTGTTTGATAGTTTTTGAAGTTTATGGTTTACTTGATCACTTAGGAAACTGATATTGGGAGGCATGTGAATAGAGTTCGGAAGCATCCATCCAACAATGTTCGAAGATTAGCTAAACAGCTTGTCAAGTTACGATCGCATTCAGACAACTTTTCTGCTCATAATTCAACTATGAAGAACCACTCTTGATTTCTAATTCTTCCCTTTGTTTCTTTGCAGAAAATGGAAGGAAACAGTAGATGAATGGGTCAAATTTAACCAGCCTGGTGATCTTGAACCTCCGAGTTTGATAGGTAAAGAGAAAACAAACTCTGTATCTCAGAACAAGCATCATTCTTATCAATCTCAGAACAATCAATCTCTTCCAATGTAGCCGATGAGGATTCACCCGTGCAGAAAGCTCTCCATAACGGTAATCGCCAACAGGTAAAAAATCCGAAACTCTTTTCTATTCTTGCTTAGTCATTGAGCTTCAATCGTTTATCTGTTTCTCCTGTGGCAGGTTCCTGATTTCGGATATTCACCGGTTCCTCAGAGTAAGTTGCTGAACAAGGACTATAGCATTTCGATATTTTCACCATTTTGAATCCGGAAAGCTTATTCCTTTTCCGGTTTTCAACAGATGGGTATTCCAGTTCAAGCAAGAACAGTAACATTACCGAGCCAGAGAGAAAACCAAGACCTGTTGCTGCTGCTGCTCCTCCATCTAGGAGAGAATCTCCTTCTCCAGCTAAACCTTCTCGCCCGTCTCCTTCTCAACAAACCATTCCGGTACATTATCAAACCGGATGCTGATATCGGTGTTAAAAGACTCTTTATACTATGTCAATTGTGATGAACTTGGTTTTGGAAATTGCAGAGGGACAAAGAGCATAAAGAAGTTGATTTCGACACAGCCCGGAAAAGGCTACAACAAAACTACAGACAAGCAGAGAATGGTTTTTAAAACTCGATTCGATCTTCTTCTGCTTTTACTTTCAGACCACTCTCTACTCAGTGGGATCATTTTCTGACTGCGTTTTTCATGTGTTTGTTTTGAATCCAGCAAAAAAGCAAAGGACTATACAGGTGATGGACATTCATGAGATCCCTAAACCTAAGAAAGGTGGATTTTTCCCAAGAAAAGGCGGTAGTTCTCAAGGTGGTAGACACTGGTAAATTGAGAAAGATGAGAGTTAACTGAACAAGAGAAAAAGAAAAAAGGACAGAGAGCAAAGCTCTGTTTCTGAGACACAAGAAGACAGTGAATTCTAAATATGTTTCAAGAATTTGGAATTAAGTTGGTGGGTACACTTGTTTTCTATTTTGTTGTTACTACTATATAATTTTTTCTGATAAAGAACATAATTTTCTTGGATTTTATTAATAATAGATTCGAAAAAAATCAAGTTTACCATATTTGTATTTTAGTTTTTAGACAATGATGTGCATAAATCTAGCTCTTTAAAAGAAAATAGATTGATTTTCTTAGGAACTGATTCTTTCTAGTGCCAATTTTATTGAAAGATTTGACCTTTTTCAATGTTTCTTTTCATGCAGATTGACGGTTTGCATCAAGTTTTTATCAGTTACAGTCAATGTAAATTCAATTTCTAATTAAAGGTTCAACCTTGTAAAGTAATTTTTAGGTTAAAATGATTATTAAGTGACATTTTTATTAACGTCGAGCTTATCTTTGAAATTTAGGAAAGAAGATGGAAAACAAAAAAAAAGAACAACAATTTCTCTTTTTGACTTTGGAGTTGTATAGCCTTAAGACCCGTAAAGGCATCGGTCCATTGGTTGATGATGAAGGAGATACATAATTTTTTTAATCTTTTTAACCGAATCATTGTGGATACGCATGAGCTGTTTTGTTTAATCATTGTATTAAAATATGTATACATAGGTCTTAATGGTAACTAATATTGGTATATTTTAAGGGAACAAGACAAGATTAGGCTTAAATAATAAGATCAATTTTCTTTTCTTTATCCATTTCTCAAGTACTTTCATTGGTGTGTGTTTTTAATTGAGTGTCCATTGAGAAGACTCAAGTGACAAAGATAATCCACCAAGCAACTCCACATGTATGCCACATTTTCATTAAATACTTTTCTCTTACTCCTATTTAATTATTTAAACCTTGAATTCATCTTTCTGAAAACAATTTAAAACTTTTCTAGAGTTGGTAAAATGATACTAGTGGGACAAATTGAAATCCCCGAGATTTCATTTTTATTTTCAAAGAACTTTATAAACATTAAACAGTCAACAATAAATTATATACCAAATCTAATTTTGGTTTGTTAACTATTTAATACCTAACTTATAACCATAAAGCATGTCATCATCGCTTTTAAATTCTTCAATTAATCTAATCGAATAAATGTTAAAATAACTCCATACTTTATATCTTTTCTAAATTTTTTATTCATTCCATGCTTTATACATTAACGTTGAAATTAAGAAACCATGCGATATTTAATTAAGAAAATCGCGTAGTAAAACCAATCATAAATGCATGCGATGCGACTTGTTACTTAAAAGTATTTGAACCATAATTGATCTTATTTCTCCTTAACCGGATTCGGTTTACCATAGACCAAACCCGAAACCGGCTTCCACTAATTACAACTCAATTTCTCGGGAGATTGTTAACTAAACCGTAAACAACCAACGACTCACTAGACTTCTGAATCTTTAACAAAAGAATATGTCTTTGTAGGCTTCTGCTTTCTACCGTTGCTTACAAGCTTCTCCTCTGGTTTCTCCTTCTTAAATTCTCCATCTTTGTTTGTGTAATAAGAATCAAGGATTTGCAATAACGAGCTCTCTTTACCTTCTCTACTAACCATCTCTTGCTTCTTCTTCTCCGGGCTATCCCTCTCTGAACCAGAATCTTCTTCATCCTCTGAGAGTGATGGTTCATATACTGGAAGCTTTTTGGTCGTCGGGTGCGTAGTTGTTGCATCAGAAACTGGACCGAGTTCTTCGAATGTCAAGTCCGAATCATCTTCTTTTGACTTGGCATTTGGTGAAGGAGTTGAAGGAAGGATGTATCCAGATGCTATTCTCACTCCATGCATGACTCGAATTAGAGACTGTAGGTTTTCGTAACCGAGCTTGTCAACCGCTAAATGGTACCCATATTCCTCTAAGAAGTCTTTCCTGAAACGGATCAGGCTATACCCTTCAGGGTGTTCCTCTGTTATCTTCTTTATCAGCTTCTGACAATCCGCTATTGCATTACTTTTGTATTTTTCCAGCTCTTTCCGGCCCATAGAACCAACAGAAACTCCAGCATGAGCAACGTTTTTGCCCCTTTTATCACCATTTTGTTTCTGCGACTGTGATTTTGAAGAATCCGAGAAGATTGAGCTCAAACCGTTTGAAGCATGGCGCTGGCCAGGGCTAGATCCTTTGATGATTCTGAATGGTAGAGAAGAAGAAGGGTTTTCTTCAATCCATTTCTTATGCGATATTAGTAAGCTAACTAAATGAAGCATGCTTGATTCACTGAGCTGTCTGAGACACAAAGGCCCTTCCTCCTGCAGATTTTTAGCCATCACCTCCCTGAATAGGATTAAGAAAGAACATAGCATTAGCTGAATACTCGTCCCTAAAAGACAACAAAAGGCTAATGCAAGAGCCAGTTGTGGTAGTTCTAAACCTAACATAGATTTACAAAGTAATCAATATCTATTCAAACTCTTGCCAAATCAAAGATGGAAGAGAATGTAAGAACCTTGTCTTTGAATGAGATACTATAGCAAAGCCTCTTGGAGAATTGATGAAAGATTCAACATCACGCCAGAAAGACTCTTCTGCAAAAATGTCGTGTACTCGAGAATCAACATTGACCAGCTCCTGATTCCCATTGGAATCTTTGCTACAGGCCGTGTTCTTTCCCCAGAACTTGAAAGTATTCAAAAGGCGACCTAAAAAGCCTGGACCTGCATCATTATCTTTACTATCTACTTCATCAGTTCCTACTTTTACCCCCTCGACAGACTCAGCAACGAAGGAAGGTGAGGTTTGAGACATGGGATCAGTTCCCTGAATCGATGACTTTAAGTCCTTATCCCCTTTATGTTTGTCTTTACTTCCAGAAACACTTTTCTTTTCTGGGAGATGCTCTGATTCCATATTTTCTGGGAGATGCTCTGATTCCATCTCAGGTGAACCATACCATAGTCTTTTTAGCTTCTGAAAAAAGCCATCTTCCATGGACGAATCACTCCACGCAACAAGAGCGACTTGATTCGTCTCCACGGGTTTATCATTTGCCTTAACGTCCTTCTGGCCGACCAGAATTGCCTCTTGGGAACTCTCTGATGATTCCTCTTTGACAATTTTGTCACTCCCCATAACATTTTCCTGCTTCTTTCCAAGTGAGCCATCTCTTCTTCTTTCAGCAGCAAGTTCTAAATCACTAATTAGTTTTGGAGATGGAGCATTAACAGTTTCCTTATCTTTAATCTTCTGATCAACAGCAGTAGACAAGCCAAGACTAGAATCAAGTCGCATATGAGGATTCTTTTCGGTGACAGCACGAATAATAAACAAGCCGTCACTTGCTGTAGTAACCTGTAAGATATCTGGCATGGAATACAGAAACTTCGAAAACTTCTTATGTCCATAGAAATCTTTATCAATTGTCAAATTGTACTTAATCAGCTCAGCACGTAGTTCTGTTATGGCTACCCCCTTGGGATAGAAACTCAATATCAAACGAATCTTGTCAACAACTTCTTTTGGAATAGGACGAAGATTAACAGCATTCGAATTCACAGACTCCGAACTAGACTCGGATAGTTCTTCGATTTTCACACTAGAAGATTGCTCAGCAGTGGTAGCAATAGCAAATGGATCAAGAAGAGGAATCCTATAGTGACCATACCAAGAGTTATAAGGACCATCAGGAGGCTGATTAAAATGCTTACCACTAACACACTCTCCTTTAATCAAAGCATCCCAATCCCACATAATCGAAGCAGCACTACACAAAACACCAGGAGCTGATGATTTACTCGCAAGCAAAATGTTGTAATTGCTCATCCTCAATCTATGCAACACACTTGCGAATTCCTTATCACTAGAGATTAGCAAAAGATGAGCTGGTGGTGGATTCTGAGAAACCCAACACATAAGATCTGTGATCAAAGATCTATCAGCACTGTTCTTACCACCGTGAGGAACATGAGTGAGACTGATTCCAGTAGCGGAGAGAGCGTCTTGGTTTGATCTGGGAAGCTGTAAAACGTCACCGAAGGCAGTGATTGTGATTGGACCTTTGATTCCGCTGTTTCTTATAGCGGCGGTGATTGATTGCGCTACTTTGAAGACATTGACACCTACAGGTAAGTTACAGCTCAGGAAGTCCCACCAGACCGAAACCCTAACGGATCGAGATTCTTCGTCTTGCTGAGGACGACGAGAAGGAGAATGGCTGGATCCGGAGACGAAATTGGAGCCGGAGCTGGTGGTGGTGGAGAATGGAGAGGTGTGAATGTTGGTGACGAGAAAGGTAATTGCTCGACGGGGAGATTGGGTTGTGGAGGAAGAAGAGAGGCGGAAGAGAAGGGATTTGGATGGTATAGATCCAAATTTCATGGTCGGAGAGGTGATTTTTGCTCCGGAGATAAAAGGGAAATGGAGAGACTTTGAGGGTTTTAGGAGTGAGGAAGACGAAGTGAAGTAAAGCAGAGCTTAAACCCTAGTTGTTATTTTTATTTTGTCGATAACCGAATCGAATCACATTTGAAAATTGAACCAAAATAAACCGACATTTTTATTAACCAAAGACAGCTGATCCCTAATTCGATAAGTGATTAGTTAGGGATTTCAATTTTTGTGAGAGAGAGAGAGAGAGATGGTGACGAAGGAGCAAGTCGAAGCTTCACTGACTTCGAAACTTAAGCCTATTCATCTTGTGAGTTTTCGTCTACTTCTTTCTTCTTTAAATTTCAATCTCTTGATTGGTTTTGATTAGGGTTTGAGTTTTTGGGGAAAAATTAGAAACCCTAATCGCCTGAGTTAGTATCTTGAAAAGGGCACACACAGATAGACATGTTTGTGTTTCTTCTAGGAGAAGATGGATTTGAAAAAATTGCCAAATTTGAGATTTTTTACCTGCTCACTTGGATCAAAATCATAAACTTTAATATTTGGATCATAAGAGGTATACTATATGATTGTAATCTCAGCATCTAGAGGAATTATATATCACTAGGCATATATATATATATATATGTGTTGTCTTTCAGCTCTGAAACAGTAGATAAAAGGTGTTTGTTTGCGTAGTTAGGTGTAATTTGATACAGTGTGATATGAGCTCAGGATCTGATGATGTTAGTGTTCATGATGTATAGCAACTTAGTAGTGAGTGTTCTTATGGGGAAATTTTGCTTGTGTCAATGTCAATCTATTTCCCTTTTCACTTGATTCATAAGTTCCAATTGTTTCATTGTTTTTAGCTTTGATTTTCTATCGAAAAATGTTCAAGGGTTTGATCTTCTTTTGGACGGTCTTATTGACATTGTTCGTTTTTTGTGTACCAGGAAGTCATTGACATATCTGGAGGGTAAGTAGAGGATTTTCCAATATCACGCATCCTTAATTTTCCGGCTTAGGTTATAATCTCTTGCTTCTTAATCTCAGCTAAACTGTTTATGCAGATGTGGTGCGAGTTTTGAGATCGAGGTTGTCTCTGAACAATTCGAAGGGAAGAGATTGCTGGAGAGGCACCGTATGGTGAATGCTGCACTTGAAGAAGAAATGAAAGAGATTCATGCTCTCTCTATTAAGAAAGCTCAGACTCCACAACAATGGAAGCCACCATCACAAGACTCTGCAACCTTAACCAAAGATGCCTGAATTTCTGTTTTTAAGGTCGTTTGTGACAAAGAACAGAGCATTACTACTATGTTTCGATGAGGTGTAAACATTTTTCAAAACATATACTTTATCCGTTTAATTTGTTGCAAAATATATCAGAAATCGAGTTTTCTCATTTTACATGGAGATTTTTTTTTTAGAATTTTACCATGACATTCAAAAAAAGAAAAAGAAAAAAGATAATGGGATTTGCTAAATTTTATATTAGAGTGCAGTGTATGGTGGGGGAGAGATAGATGCTAAAAGATGGATAAAATAACCAATAAAACTGTCCATTCTCCTCCCCATAAATCTCTCTCTCTCTCTCTATCTCTTTCCTCAAATCTCCCATCTTCTTCTTCTTAATAAGCTCCATTTGGATTTGGAGATTCTGAGTGATAACTGGCAATGACAAGTAAGCTTATCCAGCCACCATCAATGGCAGCTTCACGAGGAGCAATCTCAAGAAGAGCAGGAAACGTGAAAGTGTTAGTCTCGTTCACCAATTCTAATAGCAAAACGCTGAGTTTTAGTGATAACTCATTTAGGCTCAGACCCATGTTCATTGGGAAAGTCACAGAACAGAGCTCTGCTTCCTCCCCACATGAACAACAACAAGAACAAGAAGAAGAAGCAATTACAGTTTCCCAGATTAAAGAAGAGCTCTACGAAGCTCTCAAAGGTGATTAGATTCACTCTAATAGTTTTAAAATCATTAGGTGGTGCAAAACTTCAATACTTTGATTCTTTTATCTGATGGGGGATTTGTTTTGGGATTTAAGGGATCAATAGAGGTATATTCGGAGTTAAGTCAGATAAAAAAACAGAGATCGAGGGACTGGTTAAGCTTTTAGAATGTCGGAATCCGACACCGGAGCCGACCGGAGAGTTAGACAAGATCGGAGGTTGTTGGAAACTCATTTACAGTACAATCACTGTATTGGGTTCTAAAAGAACCAAATTGGGTCTTCGAGATTTCGTCTCTCTTGGTGATCTTCTTCAACATATCGACATTGCTCAGGTAAATGTATATCAAAATGAAATTATTATTTAGTGTTGACGTTTAAGCGTGATCTGAATTTGTTTTTTTTTTTTCAATTAACGAAGGGTAAAACGGTCCATGTATTGAAATTCGATGTCCGGGGATTGAATTTACTCGACGGCGAGTTTAGAATCGTCGCTTCCTTCAAGATCTCATCCAAATCGGTACATTACCGTTTTCTTGGCGTTTTTGGTTTTTAGATTCTTTGAAAAATCGCGTTTTGACGGAATTGCGTTTGTACTTTGTAGAGTGTTGAGATTACTTATGAAAGCTCGACGATCAAGCCAGACCAGGTCTGTGTTTTTTTTTTACTCCGACTCCGACATATATATATATATATATATATATATATATATATATACTCAAATTCCTGTTTAGATAAAATTTTTGATATGTGGTGGAATCAGTTGATGAACATATTTAGGAAGAACATGGATCTTCTTTTGGGAATCTTCAATCCCGAGGGACTATTCGAGATTTCGTATCCTTTTTTATTAAAATCCCAAAATCGTTATTAATTGTTTTGTTCTGGATAGTGGATTTCCTTAATTCTGAGAAAATTTTGCAGATATTTAGACGAAGATTTACAAGTAGGCAGAGATGGAAAAGGAAATGTTTTTGTTTTGGAAAAAACAGAGAAACCTTAAATCTTTATACGCAAAAAATGTTTACTTCATTTTTCAAACTCATTTCCATAAGAAGAAATTGCTTGTTTCTCAAGAAAAATTTCAACTTTTTTTTGGTGGGATTTTAAAAAAAAAAATCTAGATTAGTCTCTTCTTTTTGTCTTTGGAATATTTGTAACAGTTCATTCATTATTGACATAATTGATTGCTCAATAATATAATTTTCTATTAGCTTGCTCCCATTTGTTTACTTCTAAAGTCCTAATGTTGGTATTACAGTGTAATACACTCTGGCCTCTTACAAAAGAAATAAGAAAATGGTGATAAATGTTGTGACAAAAAAAAAAAAAAAAAAAATGGTGATAAATGTTTTTTTCACTACATATTTGGGCTTAAATGGGCCTTTAATTTGAGAATTGGGAATATCACTAACTAATGGCTGGTGGTGCTAATGGCCTAATCATTTGTGGGTGCCAAAATCTCAATCACATTCTCATTTTTAAGTAACTTTGCTCTTACCATAAAACTATGGTCATGGATTATACAATAGCTTTCACATATTACTTGATATATTGGTATTATGATACACGGCCCTCAGACGAAAACGAGAGAAATTCTTTTTTACTCACATTAACTTTGATATTAAAGTATGGAGTGAAAAAGCCAAAAAGGGACAAGAGGAACTACAAAAAATCAAAAATAGAACTAAAGTATTGAACCCTCCTACTTATAGTTTCCAGTTAAAAACATTTAAACACTAATAAAATGAAGACGACAATTTCTGGGGCCTCAAAGTCTATATGTAAAATGGAGGTCCCGAAACAATTTTTAGGCTTTGGACTTGATTTTCTAACAATATAAAGATTTTTAATTCGTAAAAGGGAAAATCAATTAAGTTAGGTTGGTCAAAATTTTCTTATATTTGGTTTGGTTTAGCTACCATCTATTTGGATATTAAATAATCTACTAACACTTTTATCAATTATCAATTTATCATACACTGGTTGTTTGGACCGAAAGCTCATCGATAAAAAGAAAAGACATTAGATTCTTTGGAAGATTCAATAGACAATTGAAAAATGAAAAATGAATACAATAAAGTAAAGGATTTAGACAGATGAAGTCGGTGAATTTGTGCGGCAACTACACATTTTGTGTGTGTATATGAGTTGGCCAATGGATCATTTTTTCAAAGTATCCATAAAGTGTTTGGGTGATTTGGCTGGACCGACCATTTCAAATCTTTCCGTTGGTGGGGACAAAAAATTAACTAGTTTGGAAGATAAACAGATTGTGATGTTTAGACATTTTGTGTTTTTGAGAGAAACAAATTCCGAAAAACTCCAAAGGCGTAACCAATAATATACATGTCCACCTAAAAAGATATAAACGTGGAAATGATTGCTACTCTCCAAACGTAACATTTGGTGTAGAAAGAAGCGGCTTAATGGAATATTCACATTCAATCCATTGTAAGCTTTCAAAATGGTTTCGACTAAACTGTTGCAATTGAATCCAGCTTTCTTTTGAACCAATAATCGTTTTTTTTTTTTTTTGTCAATATACAATTTCTGTTTTACTTTGCCTGATGAGGTCCATAACATTAGGTCATTTGTTTTCTAACTAGTTAATAAACTTGTTTTCTTTTTTTTTTTTTTTTTTTTTTTTTTTTTTTTTTATATAAAGAAAACCGTTACAAGACAGTACGATAGTAATCGTACAATTCAACAAAGCGGCAATGAGTAACAAAGCACAACAAAAGATGTCAAAGCATGACAACTATCGAGACAATAAACGATTAGAAACATGAATCGATTTAGTGGGTTCAGCCAAACCCACCTCGTCGACCCCGATTCCCTCGACCGCGTCTTCCCCCTCCTCTTCCTCCACGACCCATATTTATTGCCTTGATCGGCAATTGCAACGGTCTGTCATGTAGATATTTTTCTGAAAATGATGACTTAAGATTCAAAATGAGATCCTCATCCGAATCATCCGACCCGGAAGAAAAATCTCCTTCTGAATCATCAGGCAGTACCACATCCGATGCTAAATCCAGCACTGCAAATTTATTTGAACTAGAAGCTATGCGAAAAGAATTAGCACTAGATTGGACCACTGAAGCCGAGGTAGTGATAATTGAAAAAACCTTTGCGGGAGTAGCCATCACATTCGTGTCTGAAGAAGGCAGCTCCTTCGCTTCTGAATAATGAACGACATCCACATTCTTACTTGCATCAATAACTGCTACTGAACCCAAGTCAATGGCAGCTCCTTCATTCGGGATTGAAGAGGAGAGAAACTCGGTGTTAGGTTCTACTACATCAGTAATCCACTGAGATTTGCCTTTGCTCTTTGCGTGTCCAGAGGATTTTTTTTTCCTGGGACAATTTTCTGAAGAATGGGAAGAAGACTTACAATCCAGACAAGTGATGGGTGCAGTGGGACACCGGCGGATGTTGTGACCAACTTGGTTGCAATGGGAGCAAATCGGAGGGAGCCAAGGGCAAGAAACATCCACCCTATGGATTTTTCCAGACTCAAACTGGACATTCACAGCTTCAGGGAGAGGCTTAGTAGGGTCAATAATAGTAAAGACCTTACCCACTTCCAAGTTAGTCATGTTGACAGTAGATGGATGGCAGAAGAGGGGATGGCCAAGCATACCAGCGACGTGTTCGAAACCTTCTTCAGAAAAGAAATGAGGGGGAACTCCGCGGAATTCCAACCAAACAGGAGCTTCTGTAAGTTCTGGCATTTCAGGATTAAGGCCAGGTTCCCATTCAGCAACAAACATACTTTGTCCCTCAATGTGCCAAATCCCTTGACTAAGAACGCGTTTTCGAGTCGCAGGGCAAGGAATTCTGATAAGGACTGACTTTGGACCTAAACGGGAAACAGTGATATCACGGTACCGATTACTCCAAATTCCGTTGAAGATAGCATGAAGAGCACCACCAGAGGGAAGGTTACCATTGAATTGACCAATAATGAAAGATTCCCATCTTTTGTGGTTACGAGTGATGACTTCATTAGGGATCTGAACACAAAGTTCACCAGATTCAAGCAGAAACGGAGACCCTTTCTTTACCATCTTACTCGAAGAAGGTCCTTTCACAACGTCAACCCAGGGACTTTTGAGAATAGGTGAAGCTGAGTCAACCGGTGAGGAAGAGTCAATATCCAGAAGCTGGGCTTTGGATCCAGGTTCAGGGATCTTAGAGTTAGTAGCCGAGCTCGCAGCAACATTTGTTTCAACAACAAAAACAGGAGCAGTCACAGATCCCGTGATTGGAGGACCCAACGTTGCCGCAGTAGAAACCACAGGAGAAGCCGGAGGAATCGCAGACGAACCAGAGGCCACCGGAGAAGCCACAAGCGAAGCCGGAGGATTCGAACCAGAAGCCACCGGAGACGCAGAGGAAACAGAAGGCGGCGGAGGAACACGAGAAGGAATCGAAGTTGGAACAGCGGTGGGAGGGAGCTTAGGAGAAGGTTTCTTCGGCGGGGACCGCTGAGACTTCCCCATCGGAAAGAGAGAAAGCCGCCGCCGGGAACGGCAACGGTGGATTCGAAGCTATTAGGTTTTGCTTTAATCGCCACTTCTTGAAGTGTGGAAGTAAACATTAACATCGAACCCATTATACTCCATACATGTAAACACTTCCTTATCAAATTCATAGGCTAGGCGTAAATTTATTTAGAGGGCCAATGTAACAATCGACGATTCATGATAACAGTATTGCAACCCCATACTTAAAAAATTGTCTCATACAAATAAAAGATTGAAGATATCCAAACAATATTTATATGGAAAGACAAAAAAAAAACCAAAAAAATGAACCAAGGACCAAATATAATATGATATTTTTTTGCTTTAAGGACAAAAAAAAAACCAGCATCTCATCACAAGCATCCTAAAGAAAAATAGAAGAGAAAACAGAGAGATAAAACTAAAGTACACAAGACTTCTTGAGACAACCATAAGGTTCTAAAGAGAAAAAAGAAAATAAAATCCACATAACAACAGATAGTTCAGTTCCCATCTCAACTAGGGAAAATAGATTTTGTAACAAACTCACCACCACGAACCAGAGAGAAGAAGACACCTTAGAAGCATTTCCTGTGAACAATCGATGGACCCGACTCATCGTACTCACTCTTTGAAATCCACATCTGATTCACACACACAAACAAAACAACATATCAATATTTTCACTCAGGTTTCAAAATGGAGCTGAAAGTTTCAAAGAGCCGGAATCCGGATTTTTACCTGTTGGAAGGTGCTGAGGGATGCAAGGATTGATCCTCCGATCCAGACACTGTATTTTCTCTCTGGCGGTGCAACCACCTTGATCTTCATGCTGCTAGGTGCAAGCGCAGTGATCTCTTTGCTCATACGGTCAGCAATTCCTGGGAACATGGTGGAACCACCACTGAGGACGATGTTTCCATAGAGATCCTTCCTGATATCGACATCACATTTCATGATGGAGTTGTAAGTTGTTTCATGGATTCCAGGAGCTTCCATTCCGATGAGCGAGGGCTGGAATAGAACTTCAGGGCAACGGAATCTCTCAGCTCCGATGGTGATGACTTGTCCATCAGGTAGCTCGTAGTTCTTCTCCACTGAAGAACTGCTCTTGGCTGTCTCCAGCTCTTGCTCGTAGTCAAGAGCGACATAGGCAAGTTTCTCCTTTATGTCACGGACAATTTCCCGTTCTGCGGTTGTGGTGAACATGTAACCTCTCTCAGTGAGAATCTTCATGAGGGAGTCTGTGAGATCCCTACCCGCAAGATCAAGACGGAGGATAGCATGGGGAAGAGCATACCCCTCGTAGATTGGCACAGTGTGAGACACACCATCACCAGAGTCGAGCACAATACCTATCACAAAAAGAGAACAGCTTTAAGCAAAAACAAGCAAGAACAGCATGTTTACTCCAATTTGCAAGTTATAAGTTGAAAACTAACCGGTCGTACGACCACTGGCGTAGAGAGAAAGAACGGCCTGAATGGCAACATACATGGCAGGAACATTAAATGTCTCAAACATGATCTGAGTCATCTTCTCCCTGTTAGCTTTAGGGTTAAGAGGTGCCTCTGTGAGAAGAACTGGGTGCTCCTCAGGGGCCACACGAAGCTCGTTGTAGAAAGTGTGATGCCAGATCTTTTCCATGTCATCCCAGTTGCTAACAATACCATGTTCGATTGGATACTTCAGAGTGAGAATACCTCTCTTGGACTGAGCTTCATCACCAACGTAAGCATCTTTCTGACCCATACCAACCATGACACCAGTGTGTCTGGGACGCCCAACAATACTTGGGAACACTGCTCTCGGGGCATCATCACCAGCAAAACCAGCCTGTGCATATACAAAAATCATGATCAGAGGTCTACACATGTACAACAAAGAACGCAGAAACCATACAGTAGCTAAATAAACAGTCTTACTCACCTTCACCATTCCAGTTCCATTGTCACAGACAAGTGGCTGAATATCCTCACCATCGGCCATTTTTCACTAAACAAAGCAAAACGAAACGAAGGCAATTAGATGAAATCATAAAGTAAACACGAATCAGATCACAGCAGTCAAAGAGATTAGTTGAATCAGACAAAAATTTAGAGAGCTGGGTTCAAACTTCACAGATCTCAAAGATAAAACACTAGAATTCACTGGTAAACATCAACACTTAACAGATCGAAGATTAAAACCAGATCAATCGAGCAAACAAACAAACCAAAAAATCATTTCGAACTAAACAACTTCACTTCACTGAAAAAAAAATCAAAATTAACAGCGACATATCGATACGAGCGAGAGAAGTCCTCAAACTCCATAGATCTAACACATAAACCCTAAGAATTAGCTCAGATCGATCCAACAAGCACGGATCGAATCACAGAACAAGCAAAAAACCCAAACAAAGATTTTCTCATAAAACTCAGCGCATGCTAAACAGATCTAGCAAAATCGGTATGGAGAATCAACAATAACCAGAAGAAAATCAAACGATGATGGATCTAGAGACTGACCTTGAAGAAGATGATACAGAAGATTCGAGAAGCAGCGAGAGAGAAAGAGAGAGAAATGATAGGAGAAACAACAGCGGCAGCAGCTAACACTGAGGAAAGCGAAACGAGTATATGTGCGAATATATAGCCCTGAGGATTTTTCCCAATTTTTCTCACTCTTTTATTTTTTTCTATTTACTTTATTATTTTCGAAATGCAAATTAAAAAAATCTGGGAGAGACAATGCTATGGTGACCTGGCTTTCACACTCTTTTTAGCTCACCGACGCTTCTTCGGCGCCGTTAGATTGTTGGAAGATTGATCGTAACCGTTGATTTACGATTCCCTTCAAATAAATTAGCCCGGGAGCCGTGACTGATCGTTACGGCTAAAGTCTCGGCTTAGGATTTATCGGCTCGGCTTTTGTGGTTCGGACATCGTTCAAATTTTAGTATCGAAATAACAAAAAACTAATAATAGAAAAATAATAAAAAACTATAGCAGACAAACGGACTTTGTGGTTTTTTTCTCGTGACTGTTTATTGAAAATCTATGGAATTGTTTATTCTTGTGTTTTTTAATACGATTTCGTCTATGAGAATTCAAACTTCAAACACTAAAAAATTAGTAACATTTGACGGGTAGACTGTTGCCAACCAAGGAAAATTGACGGAAATAGTCGTTTATTAAAGATAGGCAAATTGTTGACTAGTCCATTTTAAGATTTATCAAAACTCTAATTTTTATGAATTCTATTTGTAATGGGGAAGAAAAACACGGATGATATATTTTATACAGTATGACTTAAAATTTATTACCGAAATAAATAAAAAAATTATTGTAAGATAGAATTTTTGCTAATTTTTTAAGTAAGGTTGTCTAGGTTTTATTGAGACGAAAAAAAATCGTATTTATTGATTGATCGGTTCTTCGTAAGATGTTTTTTATATTATACGTATTTTAATGAGTGAATTAAAAAATTTCGCAAACTAAAATTTAGGCCGAAACCCGAATGGAAGGAAGTTACATATCAACTAAAGCTTTCAAGGAAGGCACACTAAGAGACCGGGATCTTTGAAGCACTGTTTCATAAGTTTTTCCTTGTGAGTGTTCTATATGAGATCCAATTCTGAGAAATTAATGTGCGAACATTGTATTGTTTATCTATAAATGGTGATAGTATATTGATTTAACTGGCTTGGAATCAAAGATTGATATAGTCTCACAACATGTTATATGTCCACTGATACTATAGATTAATTTGGTATATGTCCAAAACAAGTTACTTCCAATAATTCAAATATTAATCACCTTTTGGAATGATTAAAAGCTTTAAAAATAATCTTTTTGAAATAAAGTTTCGTATCCCTTGTTGGAAAGCATGTGCTAAGTTCTTACACTTTGTCAATAAAAGTTGGAAAGTGGTCTAGCTTGGTTGGCAACTTAAATAATCAAAATAGTTATGGGTACTTTTATAAAATATTATTCACATTTTGTTTTTTAAAACATTTTTGTCAAAATAATATCACCCAAAAACCAAAAAGAGAGAGGTAAAAGGTAAATTCAAAGGGAAGCCAAATTCGTCATCATTTGTAGTTTGTATTCCAAGGAAAGATAAGTTGATTTGAGCCAACATTCTTCTCTTTCCACTTTACGTTGATTGCAAATTTTGAATTTGCGTCTTATGGTATACACATGAAAATGTTGTGTGTATCAAATCTTCTTTTTGGGAAATTTAGATGAGTCGTTTTCCCTAAGTTCGCCAACAATTAAACGGACCGAGGACTGGAAGAATATAAATAATATAGTTGGGCTTAAAGAAATACCGAATTTGGCCCAATAAGCAACTTAAAGACCCAATGGTCCAATTATCGTCACGGATGATGATCGTTTATGTCTACTTTTTATATTTTTGAACTTGGGCTGGTTTCAAACTTTAGAATATACAAAGTCTTTGGTAGAATATGTCCACGTTGAAAAAAAGATGAAAATATTTACATGGCTTTGTCTCAATTTTACTTTTCTCTTCTTCCGCCATCGGCCACACTTTTTTTTTTTTTTTTTTTGGTAAAAAGTTAAGTTTTATACCATTTTGAAATTTTTTGACAGAAGTTACAGAGATAAACTAGTAGCAGAAAAGACCGAAAACCAAACGAGAGAAACGAACAACTACAAAATAAAAAGCAACAAGGAAAGAACACAAGCGACAACCCATCTAATAGAGAACCGAGAAGAAACACCAATTCCGAACTGAGAAGCTCGGACATTCGTGTGATTGCCTCAGCTCCTAAGAACTCGAGTCCTCATCATCGTTGCCACGAGCAACCTCTTCCTTAGGCAAGCCCTCAAACCTCAGAAAAGATCACCTACAGCTTCTTCGAGGACACACACAAAAACGGGAAGGCTAAAGAGGACGAAATCGCACCCGGCGGCACGGGAACATCTACGGGCAGCCAGAGAAGCCGCCTCCAGCCACCATTCCCGAGCATGAAGCTACAAGAACCATCTCCCACGGGATAGAAAATATCCTAGTAGACCAAACCGCTGCCTCTATTCAACACGGAGAACCCCACCTAAGGTTGTCGCGGAGCTAATCCTTGCCGGAGCAAAGCGAAACAAGCTTCACGGTTTCAAGAAACCATGACAAACCCTCGCAGCCAACACCTACAAAAAGAAAACAACTCCTCAAGCAAGGCAACAAGTGCAGCACGTGACATAGAGATTCCGTAGGGGAGGCAAAACAAGCTCGCCAAC